AGCCCTGTTTCCTGGCTGACTCTCACCCCCATGGAGAAGAAGGGAAGAGAAAGGGGAATCTTAGAGATGCCTCCCCCTCATTTCAGCCCCACAGGTGTAGATAGGCAGAGGGAAGTGGGAGCCACTCGTTCTTTCCAGCTCTTCTGCATCAAGGAGTCCCTCCAACAAGTGGGAAAGAGGCCTGGCCCAGGCTTTCTCAAACCTCTAAGAGCGTGTGAGTGGCCGGTGGCTGCAGATACCCATTCAGGGGTCCCGAGCCATGAGCGCCTGTATCTGGAATAAGCTTTGTGGTGGGTGCTGCCGGTGCGGGGGGCTCAGGTCCTGGGGCTGGTTGGAAACGGGACCTCGAGCAGCGCTGGCAGAACAGGGTAAGTGGTCAGGACAGACTCCCGCAGCATCACTGCTCACTCAGGGCCTGCACCACCCTGGGGACCCCTTGACTGCCTGCCTAGGAATGCACCCGAACTGGAGTTGGCCTCCAGCTGTAATAAAGAGGGAAGACGTTGAGTGACTGGCCAAGGCCCCTCTGGGGATGGTGCGGAAGGGCCCATGTGGGGAACAGCGGCCCCAAACGGGTATGTTCTGCAGGTCACTGGGCCTGGGGGGTGCTTGGTGCAATAACTCCTATTGGGAAATGCCAACTAATACCCACAGGCCTTCAAGGGCAGCGAGCACTGGCTGGCTGGCCTACAGCAGGGTGGGCCTCAAGATCTCAGAAGCACGGATGCCAGGATTCTCTGAAGCACATCCCCACCCAGCCTTTGGCTTTACATACACTGGACCAGACTGATTCTTCAATTCCAGGCACAATCCCAGCGCTTCTTCCTGCTTTTCTAACTCCTTTCCCAAGAGTCCCTTTCCCCGAGGTGAAACCGAGAACCTCAACTCTGGAAGCCAGGAAGGCACTGGCACGGATGTACATCCCAGACTGCTGAGGGGAGACAAGGGTGCCCCACCTGAGCTGGAGGGAGGGGGCAGGAGGAGGCAGTGGTGACGCAGAAACGCACTGAGCCAAGGAATACTCTCTCGTGGGCCCTTAACCTTCCAGGGTCTGGATCCGCAGACTCCAAGGTCCCCAAGGATCCTAACAGTATGGGGGACTGGAGGTGCCCGACCCTGGCTGAGTAGACCCAAGAATGAAGGCTCTTCTGTGTCAGACATCTCCACTTCCTTATAATCAGGGAGCTTTTCAGTTAAGGCATTTCCTCTTTACAGAAGACCTCCCTCAACGTGAGAAGCTTTTAATTTCTCGTGTGTCCCGGGGGATGGGGGCACCATTCTGAGACTGCCAGAGCCCCTGGCGAGAAGGCAACACGTGCCGTGGGGGGCTGGGCACAGAGCCTGGCACGGAGCCTGGCTACTGAGGGAGGAAGATTGGACAGAGGCCCCGGAGCTTTGCTTTCCTGCCCTATTTCAATCCAAACCACTCAGGACTGACCACTCACGCATGGCTGCCTCTGGGCACAGGCCTTTTCTTTCTCAGACACTTAATACATCGTGACCCAGCCACCATCCCTGCCCTCCCAATTGCTGAGAAAAGCTGGCATCAAAAAAGCTGGCATCTAAGAAGGCTGGAGATTGGAAACGTGGGTGGCACCACAGTAAACTCTGAATAACGTATGATGCTGCAGGGGGTAGGGGGAAGAGTCCTAAAAGGGGACTCATGCCTTTTGGAAGTAATTCCTCATCCTTGCCCTCTCTGCTCCAGACAGGGCAAAGGGGAGAGAAATGGGGACAGGGACCAGCCACCAGAGCAGACAGGGGGAGAAACCATAAAAGCGGTGAGTCCTTGAGATGTGCCACCTACAGAGCACCCAGTGAGGTCTAGGAGAGGCTGGCAAAGAAGAGGGTGGGCTGTGCCTGGCAGCAGAGAGCGGCTCTTCTCCAGGGAGAGGCTGGCAGGACAGGTGAGTGGGAGTCAGCCCCAGGGCATGTCTGTTGGGGAAGGACCCGAGGCCCCTGTCTGGGCGGGAGGCTGCCAAGCGGAGGCGGCAGACGTGGCGGAGGACACAGCCCTGGGGGACCCATCCTGGGGCTAGAGGTCTTTGGATCATGGATGTGAACACAGGACGTCCCTGTTTTGAGGACCAAGAAGTCTTAAAGGTGGGGACAGCCCTGGTCAAACCAAAATAAGAGTTCTCTCCCAGGGAGCCACAGGGGGACCTTCTAACGGACCCTCGAGTGTCCATTCATTGTTCCTTACTGAGAAACATGCAGCACACCGTGGGGACACACTGGTAAACACGATGGCCACGCCTTGCTCTTGGGGAGCCGGGACAGTCCAGCACTACTTAGGTCAGCTCATGCAGCGACAGAGTGGTTTTAGGTGCAGACATAAAACCCAGACCAGTCCTAATTCTGGCTCCCAGTAAAAGGCATGAACAGTATACTCTAGTTCCAGAGACAGGCTAGCATGCTGGACAGGCTAGAACAACTTGGCACCTCTTTCATCCAGAGAAGCAGAGAATGCTGCAGATGGGTGAGAAGATGCTACCAGAACCCGACATGAACCACCTGAGGTGGTGACGGATAGAACAAGAGCCATCCTCAGCGGCTGTTCTGCTGGGCGATCTTCCAGACACACTCCCCGGAGCTTCCTCAGGGAGTCAGCGGGTGTGGGAGGAGGCCCCGCTGTCTCCTTCCACCAAGTTCACGTTTGACAGCTTCTAAACGTCCTACTTCCTTCTAGAGGGAACACAGGCTCAAAGGGAACCGACTTGCACAGGATCATGAAAGAACTGGGTGCAGTGTAGCACTCCCTTGGTGACAAAACTCGGGCACGGGGAAGGAAAACCCAGATATGACTGTGCAGAGGCCAGCGTGCCAGCTGGCAGTGACCCAGCCCAGGCAGTGGCTGCCCAGGCCTTTTGGCTTCCCCAAGTGTGTCCCCCACTTCCTGTGGCCCAAGCCTGCCTCATCTGGCAGCACTCACCCAGACCTGGAACTCCAGCAGCCCTTTCTGCTGCTGGTACAGGGTGGCTCCCTCCCCATGGAGAGCAATCTCACTTCAAAAGCCCTCAAGTCCTTGAAAGTAGGGTTTTGTTTTTTCTTTTCCAAGCATATTGGGGGGAAACAGATGATGCCCTCTATTAGAGATCAATACAGTAATTATGTTGGACAAGCTCTTAGGGCTAACTTCAGGGGGAATTCAGACAGCCTCACAAATGGTGTGTGAACGCATGGGAGGGGCTGGCTTGGGGAAGGGAGCCCACTTGGCAGGAGATCCGCTTCTGCGGAAACCCTACTCTGGCCTCTTGCTGGGTCCCAATTCTAAAGCCAGACCAATGTCACCTTGATAAGTCATACAACGCCTGGCCAGTTGCGGAGTTCTGCAACCTTGCCCTTCCTAAAATCGAGTGAGGCTCAAGGGGACACTTAACCCTTACCCTATGAAGAAACCTGACATGATCAGCAGAACAGTGTATTTTGATAAGAACTGGTTCTGTGGTTGATTTGTTGGGGGAGGGGAGACACAAGAAATGCCTGTTTTGTATACTCTACTCTTGAACAATATTACTCACTAAGTATTGACAGGTAAATAAAGAATGAAGACCGCCTTTCTCAGACCAGGAAGTGCCCTCTACATGCTGGCCATAGTCCTCTGCACTGCTCCTGCTGCCTGGTGTCTGCATAGCCCTGCCTTGGAGGCTCCAGACATCTGTTTCTGATGTTCTTGGCAATGACAATCAAAAACAACTGAAGCTGTCCCTCCAGGGCAGGAACTGTCCGTCACCAAGACATAAATCTTCAACATGCATTCTAAGCATGTTTCAAATACCTTTCAACATGACACTGCAAATAAACACAGAGTCAAGAAGGCTTACTGTTTGGCCACTGGCCTCATCCTCCTTATGGGCCAAGACGGAAGATTTATGTAACAGGATGACTGAGCACCTGTGTATTCATCATTTGAGCTCAAAGAGCTTCCAGCAAAAGGAACATTCTAAAGTTCTTAGAGAAGGGGCTGCAGGTGGTTTGGCTACGTGGTTACAAGACCTCATTTTGAAGACTTGCAAGAAAAAAATTCCACAGCATCTCCACAGAAAGGCTAGGATCTTGCTAATTACAAAGAATACCACAAAGCCTTTTACCTCAACAATATTTATTATTGTTTAATCCTCTGAGTGTGGTAGGGTAAACAAGACAGCAAACACTGCTGTTTTATAGATAAGAAATCTAAGGCAATGCAAGGTAAGTGACTTTCCTTAGTTACAAGGTCAATGGTGACATTTTTCTGGAACACAAGTTATCCAACTTCTAAAACTTCACATTTTCAACACTTGCCTAAACATGCACGTGCTACCTGACCACCTACTAGACTCCAGCCCAATTGACAGAATGGAAAACCCGGCAGAAAGGCTGGGGATGCATGGAATAGAGAGGTGGCTGTCTTCCCAACTAGACCGTCTCCGCACACACAGGGCCTGACTGTTGCTCAGGGACACCAGCCCAGTGGTACCTACCATTATTAGAAACGTTTATAATTTGTAATCATAATGAATAAAGGGTTCCAGTAATGTTGCTAATCAAATCCTTGGCCAATATTTCTGCCTATGAGCCATCTAGGGGTGCCAGGCTTCCCAACTAGAAATGCGGCTGCTCATAAAACCCTGTATCTCACAGGGGGTGGGGGCCGGGGCGTGATCACAGGGTGAAAATCTTCATGAGAACGCTGGCTCGCCCACCTGCACTCTGTCCTCAGTTCCCTGTAACACTGAACAAGCTGAGCACAAAATGCCTGAGAAAGGGTATGATCCTCCTCTAGGACTCTGGAACAGGAAAGACAGGCTTTCCTGTTCATTTCACTTCAGCAGATTGTTTAGACAGAGAGAAATCATCCCCTGGGTATTTAAAACAGGTTACTCCATCCGAGCATTAGCTTCCAATACTAACCAGGGTCTGATGAGCAAATCCATGACCACACAGACCAACCAACTGGACATTTAAAATCAACTGGACACTTTAAATAACAACAACAAAAAATTCACTCTGGATTATGATTCCGCAGAAATAAAGAGACACTCATGTCATTTTAATGTAGCAGGAAGGTAACAGTAATTCTAAACAACAAAGTTCATAAATACACAGAAAGATGCTAATTCCCCCAGGGAGTGAAGACACCCAAGCGGCAACCTATATTTCAGGTAATGGTAACAATCTGTATCCACATGGTAGATGCTGTGCCCTTTAGTTTGGGCTTAAAGAATGGTCAGGAATAAAAAGGGGAGCCCCAAGCTGCACACCTTATGCGGAGGCCTATCTAACATCGGGAAGGGCACACGCAGCACTACAACCCCACAGGGGCTCTGCACTTCAATGTGGTCGCAGCCCAGGAGACAGGTGGGCTCCATCCATCTGTAAATAACACAAAACAAGAACAGGGCTGCAGGTTACACCATGTACCTGTTTCCTTGTGCAAAGTGATCAGGCAGCAAGGCAACGCCACGGAACACACATGGACATTTCTTTGCAGCTCTACCTGCTGTGGGTGGGAAAGAAACCCCAGTCCAGGCGCTCTCACACCTCTAGGAGGAGCATACGAGTGGCCTGCGCATGCAGACTCCGACTCAGTGGGTCTGGGGCCTGAGCAACTGCATTTGTCATACAGCTTCCCAGCGTCTGCCAGAGCAGGACTGGCAAAACAAGGTAGTGGGCACAGGAGGAAGACTGCTGGGGCTGAGGAGGGACTCCTGCAGTGTCACCTGCTTCCTCAGGGCCACGCGACCTTCTGCGCAGAGACAACAGAGGAGCCGGTGCCGGGATGGGTATCAGCCTGGAAGACTTGCAAAAGGCTGTTATTTTGTACTACTGCGTGAGGAAAAAATATCCATGTAACAAATTTTAAAATTGTTATTAACAGCAAACTGGGAAAAAGGTGTCTGATATCTGGGGCTACTGACACGTTTCTGCCAATCCCCAGAAAGACTCTCCTCTAACCAGTGAGCTTCTCCATAAGGAAAAGGAAGCGGCCCCACCAAGCCCCATGTGAGCGCCAGTGCATGTCTTTATACTTGGGAAAGAGCAAGTTGCTTTGTTATTACTTTTAGGCTCCAGCTTCGTTTCTTTGGAGCTAAGTGAAACACTGAGACCTAAAAATCAGGATTAGTATCCATCGGCTCAACTTCAAGTCCTTCCCCTGTGCCGACCTCAAGGCAGAACCATGGTCCCTCGACTGCTGCTCCCAGGATGACGCTCAAGGGTGCTGCGTGCAGCTCTCACCGCCCCCACGGGCTCATTAAGACCCCCTGGACTGAACACATTGCAAACACAGAGGGGAAACACAAACACAAGTTAGCATTTTACCAAATGGCCACAATTATTCTGACAAAAAGAGCTATTCAGAAGGGATGCTGCCAAGGTTACCGGTTCTCAAATGGAAACCTGCCTCCTTCACCCATTATTTGAGTTCAAATTTTCATGAAAGGAGAAAAAAAAAAGAGCCCAGCACAAACCCAAGGGCAAGAAAAGTGTTAACATGAGAGATGCCTAAGTCAGCATCTCGGCCACAACACATACATACATACTCAACAGAGAAAGCAATTTTTCCTTTTTTAAAAGAAACAAACTCCAGTCTTAAGTTCCATTTGAAAAATCCTTCAATATTCTCAAGAATATTGCTTCAGTTGTGTGTTGCTAAGAACCATAATCCTGAGTTGGATAAAGCAGCACATCCCATCCATACTCTTTATCCTCTTTTTTAAACAAAGTGACCTAAGAGATCATCTCAGGGCATTTCAGAAGAATGCTTTCAAAGGGAGAGGTGGGGTCCAAGAATCAGCGGCCTTGGAGGGCAGAAGAACACATTTTAGAAAAGCCGCATGTTATCCAAATGTACTTCAGTCCGGTTTACTCTTCTGATAAGGCAGTCAGATTTTTTTTAAACGTGCAAGGTGTATCTCCCACTTCTGAATAATAGCGAAACTGGAGAAGATGCTAGCACATGTAATCAACGTTCTCCAAAAAGCAAAAAGCCTCGGAAGCCAAACATGAGACACCATTCCTTGCTCATGGCAGGAGACACGTGTGTCCCCCTTCCTTCCCCGACACCAAGATAGCCCGCTGGGCAGGTGTGAGGCAGGGGCGCTGCAGCTGACACGGAGGAGTCTAAATCTGAAGACACTTTTCCACACTTACGGCAAGTTCTTCACTTTCATGCTTTATTGAAAGTAGAATATGATCAAGACAGGCATTGGTAAGCAGTTATGTCTCTAAAGAATAACTTTTCGTTCAGAGCAGAATGTTGTCCCATCTACTGTGATACAAATCCTCTGTGGCCCAACGCATCTGGTATGAAATGCGAGCAAGGAAATATAACAGAACTTTCTTCCCTCCCATGACTATAAATCTTATATGTAAACATGATTTACTGTTACTGCTACTAAACTCGTCCAGTCTGTACTTGCCCCCTTCCTCCCGCCATTCCCTTAAATATAAAATTGGAAACATGTCCTTCAAGTCTGATGTCCATCAGTGCAATCTGCTTTATTTGACATAAGGCATTTGGGACAGTCACTGTTGAATGGATTTTTGCCTTTTGGAAGAGTCATGTCATGGTTTAATTCTTAAATCCACCTTTTCTTTAATGCCCTAGCATGTCAAACTTCTCTTCCCTTCTGGTCATTTCTTAGCAGTCAGCAAGTATTCAAAGGTTAATGTCCAAGCAGACCAGTACCTGAGAAAAGAAACACACGTGGAGGCACAGTTGTGAACTACAAATCAAGAGTTCAGAGATTCCACCTGCCAAGAACACATCATCAACAGGACCATCCAATTTAATAAATGGACACAGCAGCCCCTTGGCGTTGAAGGATAAGAAAAAACAGCAGCAGACTTCAGGCTTTCAGCTAAATCACATTTCTGTCAAAAGCCATGTGTTTCCTATGTGCATCTTCACACAAATGAATCAGGCTTTACTGATGCTTCCATTTGATGGCCATTCTACATAAAGAAATTCCTTGCTTTGTTTTGACCACATGAGGAGTTCCTTTGCAGTAGTAACATGCAGATGACAAAGCTGCACTGAGGGGAAGACTTTATTTAGGCCGGTAGCTTTGCCACTCCTGTGCTTTAGCAAAGCACACCTGGTACTTGAGTCAATACATTTCTTGGCAAAATCACAACGTGCCATGGACTTCTGGCGTGGCCACCAAGAATCCACATGGCAACAGTCAAATCTGTAAATGTCAAAGGTCTGGATTGGATACACTAATGAATATTATTAGTGTGAACGACTACAGTGGCCCAGATAGAGTACAAGGCACCGCCGTGTCTCTACTGGAAGGAGTAATCCAACACATGCCTTAATTCTAAATAGATTAATTAAACTTTTCACTGGACCTGATATAAACTGGACAATTCTTATACCCCTAATTCTTATCAGTTACACACAAACCATTTTGTTCTAAGAGAGGACTGGTAGGAAAACTGGGAAAAGGTTAAGCAGAAATGTTGAAATGCCACTAGTTAATTTCCCAGCCTCCCATAAAAGGAGAGAGGGAAAGCTGAGCAGGCATCTGGCAAAAGAGAGTTCTAATACACAAGCCCTAGCTGAGGCCTGAGTGGTGAAAAAGACAATGAAGCAGCTGGAATAAAAAATGCATTTAAGTAAAATTAATTTCAGTCATGAGTCTCAGATTGAATTAAATTTTAAAATCAAATTATGGCCTTCGCTTTCATAGAAAATTACAGGATGACTCTGACATTCATGAACAAAACATGACAAATGTAACTTACCTTTAAACCCTTCTTCTGGCATACAAACTGGAAAAAGGGGGGAAAAAAAGAATTCCAAATTGAAAATTGTCATGACAGACAGTAGTAAGATCCCTTCAATGCCTAAGGACAAAAAGTCTAAAATAACTTGTTATATTTTTTATTTATTTTTGAGACAGGGTCTTGTTCTGTTGTCCAGGCTGAAGTGCAGTGGTATGATCATGGCTTGCTGTTACCTCGAACTCCTGGGCTCAAACAATCCTCCTGTCTCAGCCTCCAAGTAGCTGGAATGACAGGCACATGCTACCACACCCAGCTAATTTTTAAATGTTTTTATAGAGACAGGGTCTCACTTGGTTGTCCAGGATGGTTCTGAATTCCTGGGCTTAAGCAATCCTCCCAAAGGACTGGCATTACAGGCATAGGCCACCACACCCGGACAAAATAACTTTTAATTACTTACAAATTAATTACAAAAGTAATGATTACTTTTGAAGTTATGGATGTTGAGGACAATCTGTTTTTATCAAAGTACAATGCATATGCATCATTTAAAAAGTCAATGCTAGTAGGACATGGTCTGTAAGCAGGGCACACACAGTGCACACTCCAAGGGCAGTGGCCTTGGGAAAACACCACAACTGACTCCTGGGGGCTTGTGTGTCTCCCCCTCCTCCACTCCCAAATTCCAGAAGGAACACCGGACTCTTGTAGCAGTCTCTTCTAGTATTTAACCTCTTCATTTCCAAACAACATGCTCATATCGCTACTTGATGGTTTTAGATCTCTAGAATTCCCTTCTACTCCTTCTACAGTGTTGCCATTGTTTTGGGCTCCATTAATACTGCTCACAGCTGAACCTTAGTGCATCTTGGTTCTAACTCTTGTGTGGTATGACTTTGGCTTTCTGGGCTTGGTAATTACTGTGTTACTGATGTGTTTCATTTTTTCTGTATTTATCACCAATTCCAGTGCAGAATCTTAAAGACCTGGGACTTCTCCAAGGCAGTCAGTCATGATCACGTCCACCTCCCGTCCTGCCTCATCCTATCACTCCAGTCTGGACCGGATACCCGCAAGGCTTGCTGAAGAATGTCAGTTCTGGAGTTTCCCTTCACAAACACCTAGGGCACCTGATCCTACGCTGGATGCCCTGTTTACTGGTTCCACCACTGATTTCTTTCCTCATTTACTGTTTAAGAAGAGCACATCCTCACCCAGCATCTTGGCAGGTGGTGAATGGCACAGCACTTTTTTGAGGTCTTACTTGTGTTCAAAGGGCCATCGGGTGTGAGGGCAGAATCAAGTCTGTGTAGCACAGAATTCTAGACTGGAACTCACTTTCCCCCAGAATCTTGCGGGCATAGCTCCCTTATCCTGTCTTCCTGGCTCTTTGTCCTATGGATGCGACTGGTTTTCCCTCCATGCCTCTAGGTGCTTTCAGGATCCTCTTAACTCTGGTTTTTCACTTGCTGTATCGGACCCGTGGATTTATTTTCATTTATAATAGCTACCAAAAAACATATGCAATTCTTTTTATTTCCACAAACTCTTTTCTGTTCTCCAAATGTTCCTTTTATCTGGGTCCTTGCTATTGCTTATGCTTTTCTCTGTATTATTTATAGGTAATTTGAAAGCTCTCTTATGCTTTCTACACTATTCCCTCAACATCTCTTGGTTCCACGCTCATTCATCAGCTGTCTGATTGCCCATTTCTACCTTCTAAGTGTGAGGTACTAAAAAAATGTTTGAAAGCTCTGTTCACCAGGCTCGGTGGCTCAGCCTGTAATCCTGCGCCTTGGGAGGCTGAGGTGAGTGAACTGCCTGAGCCCGCGGGTTCGAGACCCACCTGGGCAACTTGGCGAGACCTCATCTCTACAATAAAAATAAAAAATCAGCTGGGCGTGATAGCGCGTGCCTGTAGTACCAGCTACTTGGAAGGCTGAGGCGGAAGGATCGCCGGAGCCCAGTAAGTCGAGACTGCGGTGGCCAGGACTGTGCCACTGCACTCCAGTCTGGGCAACAGAGTGAGACTCCAACTCAAAAAAAAAAGAAAAAAAGAAAAAAGAAAGCTCTGTTCAGTGGGCACTCAGGGGCTTCACTGAAGGGTGCATGGGAGATAAAAAAGCCTTAAAAATATATCTGTATGTATTTATGGGCACATGTGCTGTTTTGATACATGCATATAACGTGTAATGATCAAATCAGAATATTCAGTATACCCATCACCTCGTTTACCTTTTTTGTGTGTATGTTGGGAACATTTCAAATCTTCTAGTTATTTTGAAATATACAATATACTGGTATGGTAGTACTCTTAGCCAATCTCTCTTTATCACCCCCTCTTCCCAACCTCTTGTTAATTATCATTCTACTCTCTACATCCATGAGATCAACTTTTTTAGCTCCTACACGAGTGAGAACATGTGATATTTTATTTGTCTTTCTGTGCCTGGCTTATTTCACTTAACATAATGTCCTCCAGTTCCATCCATGTTGTGCAAATGACAGGATTTCATTTTTAAATTATTTTCATTTAATTCACTGCATATAGGTTAACACATTTTCTTTATCCATTCACCCAGTGATGGACACTTAGATCAATTCTGTAACTTACCTACTGTTTCGAGTGCTGCAATAAACATGGAAACAGGTATCCCTTTGATATACTGATTTCCTTTCCTTTGGATAAATACCCAGTAGTGGGTTTGCTGGATCATATGGTAGTTCTATTTTTAGTTTTTTGAGAAACTTCCATACTGTTTTCCATAATGGCTGTACTAATTTACATTCCCACCAAGAGTGTATAAGCATTCCCTTTCTACACATCCTAGTTAACATTTGTTATTTTTTTTCTTTTTGATAATAGACATTCTAACTGGGGTAAAATGATATCACATTGTGGTTTTGATTTGCATTTCTCTGATGACTACTAATCCTGAGAATTTTTCATATACCTGCTGGCCACTGGTATGTCTTCTCTTGAGAAATGTAAACTCAGATCCTTCGCCTACTTTTTAATGATTTTCTTTTTTCTGCTGTTGTTTGAATTTCTTGTATACACTAAATATTGGTCTCTTGCTGGACAAAAAGTTTACAAATATTTTATCTCATTCTATAGGTTGTCGCTTCACTCTGTTGCTTATTTCCTTTGCTGTACAGAAGGCTTTTATTTTATTCATTTATTGTTTTTAGTTCGAATCTCACTGTCACCCAGGCTGGAGTGCAGTGGCAAGCTCATGGCCACCGCAGCCTCCACCTGCTGGGCTCAGGTGATCCTTTTGCCTCAGCCTTCCAAGTAGCTGGAACTACAGGCGTATGCCACCACGCCCAGTGAATTTTTGGATATGCTGTAGAGAATAGGTCTCGCCAAGTTGTCCAGGCTGGACTTGAACCCCTGGGCTCAGGAAATTCTCTCACCTCTGCCTTCCAAAGTGCTGGGATTACAGGTGTGAGCCAGATTTTAGTTTAATATGGTTCCGTTTATTTTTTTTCCCCTATACTTTTGAGGACTCAGCCATAAAATCTTTGTCTAGATGCATGTGAAGCATCTGCCCTATATTTAATTCTAGTAGTTATACAGTTCCAGGTCTTACAGTTTCTCCAGCCTTGTTCTTTTTGCTCAGGATTACTCTGGCTATTTGAGGTCTTTGGAGGTGCCATACAAATTTTAGGACTTTTTTTTTTCTATTTCTACAAGAATGTCATTGTTATTTTGATAAGGATTGCACTGAAGTACGGTCATCTGAACAATAATTCTTCTGATCCATGAGCATGGGCTGTCTTTCCATTTGTTTGTGTTCTCTTCTATTTCTTTCATCAGTGTTTTATAGTTTTCCTCTATGGTTAAATTTATTCCTAGGTATTTTATCTTGGGGGGGTAGTTATTATAATTAATTAATATAATATATATATTGCTAGTTTTCTCAATTTCTTTTTCAGTCAGTTAATTATTGGTATATAGAAATGCTACTGATTTTTTTGTATGTTGACTTTTGTATCCTGCAACTTTACTGAGTTTGTTAATCAGTTCTAAGAGGTTTTTGGTGGAGTTTTTAGGTTTCTCCCATATATTATGTCATCCACAAAGGCAGACAATTTGACTTCCTCTATTCCAATTTGCACGCTTTTTATTAATTCCCTTGACTGACTGTTCTGTCCAGAACTTCCAGTACTATGTTGAAGAAGAGTATTGAAAGTGGCCATCCTTGTCTTGTTCCAGTTCTTAGAGGGAAGGCTTTAAGCTTTTCCCCATTTGGTATGATGTTAGCCGTGGGTTTGTCATATATGGCCTTTATTATATTGAGGTATGTTATGCTGATGCTTAATTTGTTGAGAATTTTTATAAAAAAGGGATGTTGAATTTTATCAAATGTCTTTTCTTTGTCTATTGAGATGACTACATAGTTTTTGACCTTCATTCTGTTGATTTGATGCATCATGTTTATTGATTTGCTTGTGTTGAACCCATCCTTGCATCCCTGAGAGAAATCCCACTTCATCACAGAGATCCAGCTTTTTTATATCTGTTGGTAAAATTCTTCACAGCCAATTTCCCTAGAAAGGAATCCTCTTCCCTCCTGTGTGTAAGAGTAAATACTGGACTGCCAGTGCTTGAACAAAGGGCTAGGGTGGTTTCCCATTTGGTATGGAATAGGCTTCATTCCTACCTTTCGTTTAATTTCTTCAAAATGCTGAAACATATAACAAGTTGCCTGTCTGCGGTTCAGTGGGGAAGGGGCAGTGACATGGATGTGAAGGATAGGGAGTTATCTAACTGCTTTTTAAAGAGTTTTCTGAAGAAGTATCCTGTTTTTAGGTTCACATCTCACTCCCATTTTCAGAGGTACCTGGACCTCCAATTCCTATGTGCTTGTCCAGGGCACTGTGATTGACCTCCACCAACAGGCTGACATTTGTTTCAGTTTCCTCAGGTAAGCTAAGTAATTACTATTCTCTCTGCTTTCCACTGTCCAGGTTTTTGTAGATATCTTCCCTGTTTTCTTTGATCTTTTATGACTAATAATGTATTTAACTGTAACAACATGTCAAAGCTTTTTTCAAGGTTAAAAGTAAAAGCACTGTACACTAAAGCCTCAATATCTAAAATCCTACTTTCTTCTAACAGTTAATCAACAGATTCCTAAAACAAATTTGTCTTTACCTTGCATGACATCATCCATTGCAGCATAATCTGCAATTGGTTCATCAGCCTAGAAAACAAATGAAGACAATTCAAAACCACAAGGGAGTGGATGCCTGAAACCTGAAGTCTGGCCTATGATTCAAATACTGATATTGCTATAAAACACAAATACACTGTCCAGTAGAGACCTTGGTTCCAGCCACAGCCAGTGATGCCCAGCTTCAACAATGGGTGCCCTGCCAGTTATAGGTCTAGACTCATCACCTCAAAAATTGTGTGTGTACACATGGTGGGGGGGAGAAAGGGTTGGGGGTGGTGGTGGCGTTGAGGGGAGTGGGAAGGACTGTCTTCCCACTCTTAAACATGGAAATGTTTAGATATACTGAAAGAACAAAAAACTGGTTTAATCAATGTGAGTTAAGATGCTGATAGTGGCAGTGATAGTTAGGTAGAAATAAAAAGATTGGTTCCCTCAAAATACCAACTGGGTTAAAAAATACTTGTGTCTACTTTTAACATCAAGAATAAAATATCCACTTCCTTTTTCCAGCAAAAGCCCACACTTAGTCCAAGGTTATGGTGAGATTAGCTGCAAGGGCAAAGAGGCCAATGACTAGTACAGACTCTAGCTGCCTATCTGAAGTACAAACCCTTTATAATACAGGCTGTTTCTAGGATTTTAGACAGGATCACTAGGATCTGGCAAGTCAACAGGTCTTCAAAATCATTCCACAGAACCTACAGTTCCAGGAAATGCAAAAAATTAATGGGGGGGGGATGTGAGAGGACAGGTGGTAGGATGAGGGGTATGTGTACACGGATGGGAAGTTATGGGTCTACTTCATCATTCCAGGGCCTAACTTCATCACACTAGTTGGGGCTCTGGAGTATCAAAAGCATATATTTTACAGTTCAAAGTAAAAATCCTGAAAAGTTATTGTATCACATGACATGTCTGGCACAATGGGGAATCCTTCTGGCCGACAAGAAACAAGAGGCAATGGGAACTGACTAAATTAGGTCCCTAGGAAGGGTAAGATTGGGCTACCGAGGCTGGTTCAATTACTTTTTCTTTGACAATATTTTAGAAGCCCCTACTTTGTAAAACACCTTCCACATCTATGAAATCCAAAGTCAATTTCCATATCCTGAATAAGAATCTCATTAAGCCACCTTAGTATTTTGACTATTGGGACACAGCCTCATGTTTTAAGCTTGTTCCCTAGCTTTGTTGGCTAGTACTTTTGAACTAAGAGGAAGAGGAGTGGTTTTAATAGAAGGATGGTCAAACAATTCTGCAGAACCAGAAAAGTTAGGGAAAAGGTTAGGGAGGAGGCTGAATTTAGACCTATTATTTTTAACAAAAATTATGAAAATCTCAAGAAGGGCAGCAGATTTTCATAAAATTTTTGTTAAAAATAAGAGATCGATTTTAAATTGTAAAATAAGTTGGTTACTATTCATACTGATCACATATCTATCTCTCCTTCTATATATAGTTGGGGGGCAATATTTCAAATTAAGTTGCAGACATCAGTATATCGTCAGTATGGCTTTAAGAACAGAATCTCCACCTAATCCAAAGAAAAACGAATGTTTGTGGGTGGGGATACCACAGAATCTGTGTAACCTGAGACCAGGTCACCCAACAGGTGCTAGCAGAACACCCAACAAGGTTGCTCCTGGGAAAGACAGTCAATCCTCAGTTCACAGAGGGGCACATCCCATCCTGCCTTCCTCTGAGCCTGAAGGGAATGAAAAACAGATCTGTATCTGGAGAAAACTGGGGGCCCTTGTTAGAGAAAATCAAATAGGATTAGGTGTGGGCTTCACAGTCGGTAAGAGGGATTTCTACCATCACTTGCTCTACCAGGAAAGATGATGATATGATCTGATCCCACAAGGCACAGATACGGAGCCAGGGGATTCAGGAGAGGCTCGCAGGAAGCCATCACCATCACCTTCTCAGGGTGCAGGTAGTTGCTGAAGCCATGACACTACCACAGCCCACTATGACACACAAGAACAAGACATGATGATGTCCCTGATATCCTCTAAGTCTCTTGGGGCTCAGCCAAGGCTGCATAACCCAGAGGCCAGCAAAAACTCACAGCAGTCACTTAATACCACACCCTACCGAGGACCCAAGGTTTCTTTGAGCAGTCGTTCACGCAGTTTACACATAGGTGTGTGCCATTTAAAACCTAGAGTTCCTTAGCTAAGAAGCTGTCACTTACCTTTAATAAAATGACAGATTCAGGAATGACGCCAAGGGTGCCAAGGGTGGCACAGTCATCACTTAAAATTTTTCCATCAATTGACAAATTCTGGTCAAAAGGAGCAACTGAAAATGCATGCATGATCTGTGCCAATATAAAAGAGACAAAGTCTGTATAAAGTAAAATACTGAGACCTATATCCCATCTGAATAAATCATGCATGGATTCTAAAAAACAAACAGGTGAAAAGGCTTCAGAGTACAAAATACACCACTGCTTGCAGTCAGCTGCGTGTTATATTCCCACCGAGGCAGTCATCCCTGATACCTAGGAACACCCTTAGGAGGTCTGCTAGAAAACTGGGAACCAATTACACACAGAGACCCTCTTGTTTTAGAACTTACCACCTCCCCAAGGGTGGGGGCAGGAGTCTGAGAAATCAAACAAATGAAAGGTGAGGCTGGGCTGACAGGTACTGAGGCCTGGGTGATGTCATCACTGTTGCTCACTGTTCCCAGGCCCCACATCCTTTCCTGAAAAGTCCAGTCCAAGTTCCTTCTTAATACCATCTTCAAATTAACCAGCAACCCCTTTGGACTTTTCTCTCTTCTGTTTTTACTCCTTTAGCAAACGGTGTGGACTACAGAAGTCAACCCTTGGGACGGTCATACATACTGAGACTGAGTCTTGTCTTTAGGAACCAAAATATGAATTCAAGGGGAGGGCAGTTCTGGCCAAGTGTTAAAAATTAAATACATTCTGAAATACTGGTATGCATAATGCTTAAATGTTTTATCAAATTCAGGAAGGTATGTTAAAAAAAATCATTTCTGAATCATAATTACCCGTGGAGGGTAAGTGGGAGTTGGGCTCAGAGAGACAAACACAGGTACCTTCAGTAATACTGTTCTAATTCTTGGAGGACAAGTTCAAGAGTATTCACTTTATTGTGCTTTACACTTCACTTACATACCCACTGGATATATTCTATGTATCTTATATTATACCAACATCCATGATGTTATGGGAAAACCAACCCGCCTTTTCCTGCATTCTACTCCTCGGATCTGGAAAGACAAAATGAGCCTAATACATCAGCCCTGAGCTATGTAACAGGGGCCAAGAGCTTCACAAGCTGGGGAGACCGGAACCTGAAGCAGGATTTTAATAACAGCACACAAATGAGAATAAGGCTAACAACACTGGTCTAACTGGCAGGCTAGAATCTTATCTGGACTTCTCAGAAGGACATCAGCCCTGAGAAGAAACAGGGACTGATGTGCCAGCAACCTGTGGCTGGCGGTGCCAAGGGCACTGGCATCACCAATGGTCTTTGTGCGGCAACACACCTATTTCTGGTGTGCAGGAAGTACTAACAGGATGGTTCTATCCAAGCTAGCTCAACACACACACACCAAGCAGAGGCATCTAGCCCTGGGTCAGCAAAAGGGACCCGTGAAGACATAAGTAGAGTTAGGGTGAAGGCGTGTGACCTAACTCAATGTGGGTGACGTCGCAGTTCTTGACTGTAGAAATGCTTGTTTATTTCCCTAAACACTAAGTTTTGGCATCACCCTATGAGACTGGACAAACACCAAATACTCCCAGATACCAATGCCATCAGTAAGGGGCTGACACTCATACTTTATATTCTGAGCACAGACAAGGACAATGAAATACATTCACTAACTGATGAAGCGTTTATTAAGAAGCCATCACATGTCAAGTACTATGCTGGGTGCTAGAATATAGATGTGAACAATTCCAACTTTATGAGGTTCACGGGAGTGACAACAAAACGAAGTCATGAAGGCCTTGGCAGAAGGTATGTATGTGCAGGATCTAGGGAACAAAGACAGTAAGTTCTACAACAGGGGCTGAGACAGGGTTCACAGTGAGGAGAAGATGATGCTTCAGAATAAGGGAACAGACCAACCAAGGCATGGAGGACTATGAGACTATGTCCCCTACATGCGAGAATGCTCGAGTATAATGAACTCAAGGCAGGTCTGCTGATGGAAAGGGTGCAGCTGGCCTGTTCTCTGGAGCACAATAGGACAATGGAAACCCTGTGCTAGAGGGGAGCGGTTCTCCGCTGCTCCACAGCAGTGGGGCTGAAATCAAACACAGGAGCCTCAGCTGCCAGTCATTTCACCTCTGTGCCAAAACGTTCCCCTTTCTAAGGCAGGCAACGCTGCCCACGGAAGACCTATCTTGGAGAAGATGAAATAATACAATTAGGCACTGAGCATCTTTGAAGAAAGGAGATGAATATACTGTACTTCACAGCTTTGTGTCATCAAAGGTGGATGAATGAACAATTAGGCAAAAGCAAGTTAAGGTTTCAAGCAGCCATATGGGGTGGATACGTCTAGGATCAAACATTTACAGATTTGTCAAGGTACAGTCCTATTAACTTAGAAGTGCAGTGTCACCAAAGGAAAAGGCTTCATCACACACACAAAAATGAATTGCATGCTTTAAAAAAATCACCCACTCCCACCAGCTGAGGCTCACATACATAACCACCACAAACCCCAATGCTATCCAGGTTACCAGGCAAAAGGGTCTTATCTAGTCAAAATTTTTAAAATTCCCACCACTGTGCCCTTGGGGGGAAAATCACATTTTACTGCCCTTTCTCTCGACTGTTTGGATCACTGAGGTCCTTGAGCAAGAATGGGAGACCAGAGAGTCATCCAAGAAGGGCACATTTGGGGTTTTAGGAACAGCTGCTGTCTTCCAGCAGCTCATTCGTGCAGGTAACATGCTCCCAGATGGAGAGGTTATTTCTGCTGACTTCTGGTTTATTCTTCAAAAATAGTAGTCCACAATAAAAGCAGCACAGGCTTTTTAAAATGTGTCTATCCACAGGGGCTCGTTTTGTAATTTAGAGGTTTTGAATGTTCGAGGTTTACCACTGACAGGCAGAAAGCCGGTGATAGAATAACAAGCTTTCTTAGATGTAAAAGGTACAATAACAGAGTAAAGATGTTATACCAACACGTTTATTTTCACAGTCGTGGGTTCAACTAAGGGAAATACTGTTCTCAGGACAATCTGGAACACATAACACCCTCAAAAGAAGCCTGTACTTTTGCCTCAATTACAATGATAAATATCAGCAACAAGAAAAATGTATGACCAGTAAACTATGCCACATAAAAGTATCAAAGAAGGAAATTTGGTCAGTTCTTTGGATATCTATCAGCGTCTGAAACAGATTAGGAGCCAGATTTTTTCATGGACATCTTGAATTTATCATCTCCTTTGCCTGAGGTTTGAGATATACCATTAGAATGCTCACTTATAGTACTTTAATATTGATATCAAGAAATAAGAGTACCATGAAGCATTTTCATAACACCTGCACTACATCCAATGAAATGTTTTGCAAAATGATGCACACTTTTAGGGGAGCTGGAGAGGACATGATCTAAAATGAACCTTTATGACAATTTGGAAAGTACTACTATATAAAGAAAGGTAAAGATAACTTAAAATTCTATCAAATAGACTTATATGCTACCAAAAATATGGTGATAAAAAATTTCTGACCTATCCTAGTTAATAAGCAATCACTAATCACTAATAATAAGCTGCCTGTTATCTCCTCTTAAACCTCACAGCAGATCCTGGTAACAGGCTTCAATATTTATTAAGTGGTCAAAGAAAAACATACAGCCCGCTAAAGTAAGAGAACAACTATCCTGGAACAACCTCGATATGTGACAATTACATGGCTCTCAATGTTTCTCATTACTGGAGAGCTATTCAGAGCAGGTGCAAGTTTCCAGATCAAAATCACTTTCATCTTCACAAAAAGAATCTTGGTTATTCTGAAAACTTTTAGGTCTTATAAAAGAAAGCACAGATACATATATCAATATAGGTGGAAGGCAGGACTTCATGAAGGCCCTCTGAAGTCCAGAGTAAACTTGAACAAATGCTGTGTTTTCCTCACCTGAATTTTCAACTCTTTTAACGTCTGATTAGCAGAAACGAGAAGTGCTTTCTCACCACGAACTTTTCTATGGCGCATACTCCGGCGAATCACCTGCTTCTGATAGGCAATGTAATTCTGGTGGGATACCTTTTGCCGCTTTGCTCCCCCATTGCTCTACAATGAAATGAAGAAAGCACCAAAATCATCCAGAGTGTTACTTGTTGGCTCCTTATCCATTTGAAATTCAATGTAAACAATGGGTAGAGACCTGCCCAAGTTTCTCTGCAGGCTCACATTAACTGAAAGAAGAGAAGGATGGATGACGCACATCTCTAACTTCACGTAGGCAGTGTACACGTTTGTACAAGACTTATCTAAACTCACAGAAAGTTAAATCAGAAACACAATCCGAAAACATAGTAAACTGCTAGTTCATTAACAACCTTGATCCACATTAGTTTTAAGCATTTAATTCTCTTTTTGAGAAAGACACGAGAGCTAAGAATAAACTGCTTTTAAGTATAAAATGCTGAAACTTTAAAAATGGAGCTTTACTTAAAAAAATCTAGATCCAAATGTTCAATTTACAGAAATTGGAATACAGGGGACGAATAAATAAATTAAAATGAATCACATAAGGAGGCAATCATCAGAATCCAAAATCTAGGACAAACTGAAAGAAATCACTGTCCAAGTACAATCACTTTCTCTCAAGGAGAGAAAGGGGGTGGGGAGACAGGATAATTGTTCTAGATTATAACCATCTAAAGTGGTACAAAACCATGCATACTTTGATTACATGCTGGTTTGGGAAAAAACTGTTTAAGACATAACAGAGCATGGGCAAGAGATGACATGAGGGGATTTCTGTTTGTTTTTTAATTTATTAGTATTATATAGGACATCTTTACTTTTAAGCTATGTCAGATTAAATATTTAAAGATGCAATGTCATGATGACCATAATTTACCTAAAGGTGCCACAAAAGTACAGGTGCACATACGCGTGCATGATACATACTGCACTAGTCTTCAGGGAAAAAAAGGTCAGGGTCAAATGTCCTTCTACAGCGCTCCTGCAAAGTCCTCATCAAGAGGTGAACAGTCAAGATGCTTCTGCTAACCAGGCCAGAGAATAAAAGAAGCAGGATTTTTTTTTTTTTTTTTTTGAGTTGGAGTCTTACTCTGTCGCCCAGACTGGAGTGCAGTGGCCGCTCCCGGCCACCACAACCTCGCCTGCTGGGCTCCGGCGATCCTTCCGCCTCAGCCTTCCAAGTAGCTGGAATTACAGGCATGCGCTACCACGCCCGGCTGATTTTTTGATTTATTGTAGAGATGAGGTCTCGCTGCCCAGGCGGGTCTCGAACCCGCGGGCTCAGGTAATCCACTCACCTCAGCCTCCCAAAGGCGCGGGATTACAGGCTGAGCCACCGAGCCCGGCTAGAAGCAGGATTTTTAAGAAAATTGTTTTCTCTGGCTTAATCAACTCTGGATGAGGCAACCCTGAGGCCCTGGCTCTGGTTTCCGTAGTTGTCACTGAGTGTCAGCTATGCATAAGCAGAGCGGTTTAGGGGTCATTACAGACACAGATGCCACGTATTCATTACCAGTGAGGTTCCACAGATTTACAAAGAAAATGATCAGGACACAAACAGAAAAGCATTTGTTCAGGGTGCTGACCACTGGTCAGGCACGAGAGGCAAGTTCACCTCTAGCTCTGAGTCTACATAGATACCTGGTGAGTCCAAGATTCATAAGAAGGAGATTAAATGAACACAGGGATTAAGAAAGAAAATCAAAGTTGAAACATTTTTCTCAATCTCAATTGTTGAAAGAAATGACTAAATTGAACCTAAATTCTACAATTAGGAAAAATATCTACCGCAACATATAATTTTACTTTAGAAGTACAAAACACAACCAAAAAACAAAACCTGAGCATCAAGTAAGACATAATTTTTAATAACTCTGATTTTAAATGGGTCTAAAGGCTTTTCCTGGAATTATTTCTTTTTAAATCCGTAGAATTTAAATCCAACTTAACTGACAAAAACCAGCCCACTGGTTTTAGAAGGCTTTCAATTACCTAAGTGATACCCAATACTGAGTATATTATTAACCTAAATTTTTAGATAAAGTCAACAGACCTGGGTTGATCTAGCTTAGAGAAAAGAGGAAAGGGGATTTGTCCATCTCCATTAAGGAAAAGCAGAAATGCATCATTTTTTATGACAGGGATTTATCGCAGCAATTACAGAAGCTATCTATGTACTAAGATACTGTGATGAGGCGGGTGGCATTCTGAAAAGCCTGGACCTTTTTCAGAGACTACCTACTCTTTTCCAAAGAAGGAAGATTAGACTGGAGATTTTTTTGTGAGCCAAACATTTTTTGTGAGAAAGCAAAATGTAAAACACTCTAGAGTATTATAACATCCAAACAAGGAGAAGGAAGACAGAAGAAAATTATAACATATAAAAAGTAATTACAGCATAAAGAGCAATGTTCCCAGCATTCTCCATCAGATTTATAAATGTGAAATCTCTTGTCATCCACAACTAAGGCGAGTCATTCCACATCCACTTCAAAAAAAATTGCTGTGGTTATGACCACAGTGAATAAAACTAGACATTTTTTAAAAGCTAGCCTTTCAAAACCCAAATCACTTGAAAATGTAGAATTTTCTAAACAATTCTTAAGCTAGAGAGCAAAGCATGAAATAACAGAAACTAAGGACAATAAGAACACCATATCAAGCTTAACTAATTTACAAAGTTTACCAGAGAACAGAGAATATATTTGTGATAAAAGATTAAAAAGAAAAAAGAGGAGATTCCCAACTGACTTTTATTCTTATACTTTTAGAGATGGGGTCTTGCTCTGTCAATCAGGTTGGAGTGCAGTGGTATGATCACTTACTGCAGCCTTCAACTTCTGAACTCAAGGGATCATCCTGCCTCAGCCTCCCAAGTAGCTAGGACTATAGACACACACCACCATATGTGGCTAATTTTTAAAATTTGTTGTAGATACAAAGTCTCACTATGTTGCCCAGGCTGGTCTTGAACTCCTGGCCTCAAGCAATCCTCCTACCTTGGCCTCCCAAAGTGCTGGGATTTCAGGCGTGAGCCACTGTACCTGGCTCCAACTGATTATTAAACCATATTACCAGGTGATAGTAACTAGAACAATATAGTACTGCCAGCCAAGCAGATGAAAGAGAATGGAGTTCTGAATCAGGATGAGTATATTCATATTCATATACATGCATGCAAATACACATACACACACACACGTTAGAAATATCAACTAAAAAAGCAAAGTAGAGATCAACATATGCAAGTACAAATGATTTAAGAAAATTCTAGGGGAAAACTGAGACATTTGTACTCATTAAAACTTCATTTTCATCGAGTGCAGTGGCTCACGCCTGTAATCCTAGCACTTTGGGAGGCAAAGGCGAGAGGACTGCCTGAGCCCAAGGATTCAAGACCAGCCTGGGCAACTTGATGAGACCTCGTCTCTACAAAAAATTAAAAAATTAGCCAGGAGTGGTGGCACGTACCTGTAGTTCTAGTTATTTGGAGGGCTGAAGTGGAAGGATCACCTGAACCCAGCAGGTCAAGGCTGCGGTGGCCATGAGTGTGTCACTGCACTCCAGCCAGGGTGACAGAGTGAGACTTCAACTCAAAACAAAACAAAAAATAAAAAACTTCATTTTCTCAGCAAATAAGGAAATGAAGGCCTTAGTTTAACCTGTAAAGCAGAACTCTAGAGCATAACTTGTAAGTTACCCTTCTAAAACAAATGTTATTTGGTAATCAGTATCAAATAAAATATATTCTACTTTGTACATGTATGGCTTGAAAGATGGCTTATGTGAGGAGATGGAGACATTAAAACAAAGAGTTAACAACAGCATAGAGGGCAGCATAACTGTCCGCAAAATCCTATCAAGAGATATTATTTGACTCAGTAATCTCAAAAAACATCCCAAAGAACACAATACATACACAGGTATACAGATTTTAAAAAGAACACTACTTATAGGAAATATCCCCTTGAAATGTAATACCTGCATTCCCATAAACTGTATAGAATCGGTTAACAATGAAGCAAAGGGGGCTCCAATGTTGACTACCTGAAATACAAATCTGGCAGAACAACTCTAACAGGAGACTGGCTGGTCACTGTTAGCAGCGTGGTAAGTAAAACAGTACGGTTCCTGCTCCTTCATAGGTATTTTTAAGTTACCATTTTATGAGCTGCAACAAGCCATGGAAAACGAATGCTGGTATATCCCTTTACACTAGTTGGGAAACTGCAAGTCACATTTACCTTGGGAGGACCAAGATTCAAGTCAAGAGGGCTTTTCAGACTTTCTTAATCAATGTTTAAGTGAAGTAGCCAAATAAGTGTGTACAGACAGGCCAACAAGCCCAGATCTACCTTTGCTCTGTAACAGAGGTGGCAATTATAACACTTTCATTCTTTCTGAGAGAACTATTTTGGCAGTAAAGAAAGAAAGCAAGCCAGGAACAGTGGCTCACGCCTGTAATCCCAGCACTTTGGGACACCAAGGCGCGGCACCATAGCAGGACTACATCTCGACAAAAAATAAAAAATGAAAGAAAAAAAAATAGCCAGGTCTGATGGCACACAGCTGAAGAAAGACAGAAGGAAGGAAAAGAAATAGAGGGAGGGAGTAAGGGTAGACATATTAATTAAAAATAAATCTTTAAGTTGAGTAGAAAATCCATGAATTTAAAGCATCTACAGAATATCCTGAAATGTGGTAGTCTGACTTTTGGGAAAGCTGAAACTTATCTATACTTTATATATCAACCAAACACACTGCCACATTATTTCCTATCCTTGTAAGACAATTTTCTCCAGTATTACTATGAAAAGGAAGAATATACTCAAGCAACCAATTAAGAGGGGAAGAAAATCATAACAGAAAACAGTTAATAAAAGAATTTTATTTGGGAGGCTGAGGTGAGTGGATTGCCTGAGCCCGCGGGTTCGAGACCCACCTAGGCAGGCGAGACCTCATCTCTACAATAAATCAAAAAATTAGCCGGGCGTGGTAGCGCGCGCCTATAATTCTGGCTACTTGGAAGGCTGAGGCGGAAGGATTGCCGGAGCCCAGCAGGTCGAGGCTGTGGTGGCCAGGAGCGGCCACTGCACTCCAGTCTGGGCGACAGAGTGAGACTCCAACTCAAAAAAAAAAAAAAAAAAAAAAGAATTTTAATCATTACAATGGAAAATGAAAGACCACCGCATCAGCTAATCTGGTCACTGGATGGACACCTTAATTAGAGACACAAGTATCTCTGGTATACACCTCATTATTAAGGTTTTTGTTTATTTTGTTTGTAATGAGGAAATTTGAGTTAAATAATTTTTTATACTTAAAGATTCCATGATTAAGCAACAAGCCAGGATACAGGTTTTGTTTTAGTTTTCTTTTCCAGCTAAACATTTAATCATTATACTTCTTTCTTAAGAGCAAGATATACACTAATTCCGGAATAATGTGGTCCATGGCTTTTCATGAGAAATCAGGACAGCTGCAGCATGCTGTCAAAACAAAGGAAGGAGAAAGGAAAAACAAGGGAGCTGAGAACCAGCATCTCACACAGGGCAGAGAGATGCCACGGTCTTGGAGTGGCTGCTCTTCCAGAACAACAAAGTATAATAAACAAAAAGCAGCTTCAAAACTTACTTGATTGAAATCTGGATCTTTCTCTCCCTCTGGTTTAGCTTCTTCCTTGTCTTCCTCTGTTTCAGAACTACTCACATTCAGCTCAGGAGCTGAATCCTTCATCACCTGAATGCGCCAGGACAACAGAGAGAAGTAGGTCAGACCCTAGGAAGGCATGCTATGGAGAATGTGGGGTGTGACAAGCCACCTTTACCAAGAGGAGGGACACCTTTATCATGGTGGGATGACAGACCAGAGAATGCATCAAGATGACAGACCAGAGAATGTGTCAAGAACTTTTCTATGCTCTTTTAACATGTTCGTTTTTTTATTCTATGGCTGACTCTTGTGGTATCTAATGTGCCCATCATAAATTTAAGAGGTATGTACAAAGCAGTTATCATTGTAAGCCTTGTACAATAATGTTATTCTGCAGAAGATCGAAGGTGCTTGACCTCTTCCTAAGTATATACTGATTGTCAAACCTTTTCAAATTCTCAAACTGCTCAGGAGGCAAGAGTCACAATGCTCTTTAAAAACCAAGAAAATGAAAGATAGAGGAAGTGCTCTTTTGCAGAACTATGAAATACTGCTATTAAACTAAACATAATGGAACATCAATTAAACTGGATACTATTTTGTACCAGAGACCAAGAATAAAAAGATACAAATGATTTTAAAAAATTCTAGGGGGAAACTGAAACTGAAACATTTATACTCATTAATATTTCACTTCCCAAGCTGGGCTTGGTGACTCAGTCTGTAATCCCACGCTTTGGGAGGCTGAGGTGAGTGGATTGCCTGAGCTCATGGGTTCGAGACCTGCCTGGGCAACTTGGTGAGACCTCATCCCTACAATAAATCAAAAAATTATCCGGGCGTGGTAGCACGCGCCTATAGTTCCAGCTACTTGGAAGGCTGAGGCGGAAGGATTGCCACAGCCCAGCAGGTCGAGGCTGTGGTGGCCAGGAGCATGCCACTGCACTCCAGTTTGGGCGATAGAGTGAGACTCCAACTCAAAACAAAAAACAAAAAACTTCATTGTCCAGCAAATAAGGAAATGGAGGCTTTAGTTTAACTTGTAAAGTGGAACTTTAGAGCATAAATTGTAAGTTACCTTTCCACAACAAATATATTTGTAATCAGCATCAAATAAAATATATTCTACTTTGTCATTAATCCCCCAAAACTCTGAAATCAAATTAATAAGATGTCTAGAGATCTGGGTCAGGTTCTACCCAAGAGCCTTCCCTAAAATAGTAAAAATGCTCTGAAATCCAATTCATAGCAAGTTTCAATACAGCCGTTCTGCCTATTTCACCTACCCCTGCAGATCGATGCAAGAGGCTCTCAACTGGGCCTTCTTATTTCTGTTATGCCCTCAGCAATTCTAAACACAATAAACAGGATGACTTTTTTAAACCATAAATCAGATCATACTATGATGTTGTTTGAAACTTTCCAGTGCCTTATACCCATAGAATCCCAAATCCTTAGTGTGTATGATGTACAAAACCTGAGAGACTAGAGTCCCTTATCCCATATCATTATCCCTTCTAGGAATAAACTTCCCTATACAACAGCACTGGCCACTGTGGGAGCCACTAGCCACATGTGGCTATTTAAATTTAAATGAATTAACACTAAAAGTTCAGTTCCTCAGTCACACTAGCCCATGTCAAACCCATGTCAAGTGCTCCATACTTGGATACTGGCTACAGCAATGCACAGCACAGATACGGAACATGCCAGTCCCTACAGAAAAGTGCTAGTAGCACCATTCCAAGCACAATGATTTTCTTATGCTTAGGTGCATTAGGCTTATCCCTTTGATCTGTGTCCCCATTGCCTGGAGTCCTCTTCCTGAACTGGATGTTTGACAGTGAGGGCTCAGGTAAAAAGTACTCCAATGCCTTTCCTGTCTGCTCCCCATCTAACACAGTAATTTCTACTTGTATCAGTCTTTCTCACTTCCTTCTGTTAAATATCCTTCAAAACACTCATTTCTATGTGAAATCGTCATACAAATGTATTTTATTCCAGATCTTCCTTGCTAGGTACTTATAAACTGTCTATTTTCTTCAATACTGTAGCTCCAGCCCCAAGACCATTCCCAGCACATAGCTGACATTTGCTACACATCTACATATCAAATTAATAACAGGCCAAACTCCCATATAATAACATAACTTCATTTATAATTCTTGTCCAATTTCAATTCTGATGCCAAACAGCTCTGAGGGAACAAAATGTAGTCCTGGGCAGTCTTTCAATGAAAACACAACAGCAAGTCAAAAAGACAACTTGATATTACTAGTCATGACCACAAGAGGGACCAGTACCTTTTTATTATCCACAACTTTATGGACATAGATGGTGGCTTGAGTATATTCACGCAGGTCCCTCTGCTGCTGACACAACAAGCCTTCTCGACATTCTGGACAGAGTTCTAAAAAAAAAGGGAAACAGAAGTGGCTGAGGAATTACTGTCACAGAACCAAAAGTCTAAAAACATAACAAAGTACCAGTGAATATTCATTAAGCTCTTGGTAATATTTTCTATTAATTGTTGCATTGTATTACATGTACTGCATCGTATTACATGATAACAACAAGGACATCCATTTACTGTAAATAAACAAACATACAAATAATGAAATGATAATATGATCAGTCCCACCTGGGAGGACTGGACTGCCACACGATCATTTATTTTAAGCACAGAAGACAAAATTGATGTACGCTTTCCTCTTAAAAGGTCAACTTATAATTACAGAAACCAAAAGCAACATGGAACTTACTGGGATCAGAAATATACTGTGTTTCTGAAGAGTTTACATCCTCCGATTCAATTCTCATGATTTTAATTACATGATCCACGACAAAGAGCTTTTGTATCATTTGCCACTCACTGGGCCATATGAGAGCTATACTGTGCAAAAAAACACGACATGCCTTAAGACACATGGAAATTAAGAGAACTAATACCATCCATTAGTCTCCTAAACCAAAATCATCAATAACAATATCTGATGCAAAGGAAATAAAGGACAAAGAAACATTATCATAACAAGAAATAGTAGTTTTTCATTCAAAGAACTATTACAACAGCTGTGAAACCAAACAGACTGGAGTTATATGAAATCAACATGGTTAAATCTCAAAAACATAAATTGAGACTGGGTGCAGTGGTTCATGCCTGTAATCCCAGCACTTTGGAAGAACAAGGTGGGAGAACCTCTTGAGCCCAGGTGTTTGAGAGCAGCCTGTGCAACATAGTGAAACCCCTGTCTCTGCAAAAAAAAAAAAAAAAATTAGCCAGGCATGGTGGCACATGCCTATAGTCCCAGCTACTCAGCAAGCTGGTGCAGAAGGATTACTTGAGTTCTGGAGTTCAAGGCTGCAGTGAGCTGCGATCATGTCACTGTACTCCAGCCTGGGTGACAGGGTGAGACACTGAATCTCAAACAACAAACAAACAAAAATAAAAGAACATAAATTGAATAAAATAAGTAGGTTGCAGAAGGATAAATACAGTAAGATACCATTTATATAAAAAGTTTCAAATAGGCAAGAAATTATTATGTGCATGCATTTTTTTTTTTAAAGGAATACTTTCTGGGATTGATAACCTTCAAATCTGTGAGAGTGGTTACTGCAAGAGGAAGGGAGAGAGAGAGAGAAGCAGGAATAGAAGAAAGGACAAGTACTAAGGGGAAATAATATTTGAAGAGTTTAACTTTTAAGCAGACTGGTAGCACACATTTGTTTTGTTATTACAGATAATTTCCTGAATGTCTGGCATTTACAATAACAACAACAAAGAGAAGGAAGGAAGTGAGGTAGGGAAGAGATGGAAAGACCAGAAGAGGGAGAGAAGAGGGAGAAGAGAGGAGGGAGGGAGGGAAAGGATACAACTCTGAGCTCCCTCAAATTACGTTGAAGTATTGAAATATGAATAACAAAACTCTAGCTTAATCCCAAGGGAATTTTTATTTAGGTGTTTCAATTTCCTTTTCCTGGTTTTCTGACAATGTCGGAGACATTCTACATTTCTTCAATATAGTTATATAAAAATGATTTTGCAGATAAAATGGCAACATCAGGGTTCGTGAAGTTCACAGATGAGCACCTGGATAAGAGCTTAAAGAGTGGAATATGGCTGGGCGCAGTGGCTCACGCCTATAAACCCAGCACTTTGGGAGGCTGAGGTGAGAAGACTGCCTGAGTTCACAGGTTTGAGACCAGCCTGGGCAACTTGGCAAGACCTCACCTCTATAATAAGTCAAAAAATTAGCTGGGAGTGGCACATGCCTGTGGTTCCAGCTACTTGGAAGGCTAAGGTGGAAGGATCACCTGAACCCAGCAGGTTGAGCATGACATGGCGCTCCAGCCGAGGTGACAGAGTAAGATTCCAACTCAAAAAAAAAGAGTGAAATACAATACAATGTTGGTCCTAAGACCCTGGAACCGCAGAGTGGCTCTGCTCTGGTGCCACCCTGCTATCTTCCTTCTGTATCCTCTGAAGCCTGGCAGCTGCAGAAGGAAAACCTACAACCAAGACTATGTTGATTATGGGATTCTGGAAAAGAGGTCATGGTGCTGGCAACCAGCAACTCAGGAAGGGGAAGCGTGGCTGTCCCTCCCAGAAGGGACAAGGAAGGAGCAGAAAGACAAAGCAGTCACAGGCAGCCTCTTGCCTTTTCCAGAGAAGCAGTTGCTCTGTATTTTTCTTTCTTTTTAAAAAGACAAGTGCTCGCTCTAGTAGAGCACACAAAAGGAAAAAATTCCACAATTCAGCAAAGAACTACAATCTTAAAATAGATGATGTCAAATGAGAAATTTCCTCAACAGACTTTAATAATCATCAGAAACAGGAAAGTCACATGAAGAGAAAACACTTACAGTTTAGAGTCCTCTTTGGTCATGGAAGCAAATGTAAACATGAGGCCCCCGTGGGGACACAGGAGAGCACTGTTTCCAACTGATGACACCGGACTGCACCTCGCAGGCTTCCTACTCAGGGAGACAGGAGGGGAACTAGGCCTCAGCATTGCAAGATGGAAGAGAAGATTTTCAAGACATTTAAAAATTAGAGCTATCTTAAAAGGATAGTAATTAAATGTGTTCCTTAGGATTATTCATTTGTCTGAACAGAAAAGAAAATATCCAGTGTGCTAGTCAAAGTAACCATGAAGGACACCACAAGCAGAAGCCATAAATTCTTAAAAAATACTAGAGTCAACTCCCCCACCCACCAAAAAGGAAACAAAACATTTTTGGTTTCTACCTCACAAATTTCCGCCACTCTTCTACAAAGAACTGTGACACGATGTATAGGACATCCATATCCTAGAATATAAAAATCACAACAAAGTAACGTCACCTTCACCGCCTTCTTAACACAGATTCTTTATGATAAATATATTGTGGTTTTCCTTATTCAAGTTTTATAAATAAAATGAAAATATAGTCATCCACCAAGAAATAGCAGGCTGGAGTAAATTCCCCTGATTAGATAACTAAACAAATGAGAATATGAGAAGTTCTGGGCTGTTCTGAAATAGCTCATCGGGAATCTGGCAAGAGCCTTAGATGAATTCTTTCCTTTGTGGGAATCATTATACCTCTGGCCAGTTACTGAGACATGGTCTGTTTTTATCCTGGAACAAATTCGGAAGAGAAGTCTTTTGCTCGTTTGCAATCATCTTATGTAAGGCTTCATTTTCTTCCCCTTCTCTTTCCAAAATCTGAAAGAGAATGAAGCAGTAACTGTCTCCTGCTGACAGCACATGACTTGCCTCCTCCCCACACCCCCATCATCAATGCAGTGTTAATTCCCCTGGGAAGTCAACCAGGAAGGTGGATGCTATTTCCCAGATGTCAGGAGGGTTCGGTACCTTGCACTGTGAACAGCACTCTTTGTAACTTGGAAACTCAGGAGCCTTTGGAAAGTACTGCTGCAGCTTGCTCCAAGCCTCTTTAGAAACAAGCCTTCTTTCATTTTCAGATATGCATAACTCGCCTGAGTTAAAAAAAAAAAAAAAAGTGGAGAAAAAAAAGCTGAAAAGAAGTCAGTATCTATTTCCTATTTCTTTTTGGGGAGGGAGGTTGGAGTCTCACTCTGTTGCCTAGGCTGGAGTGCAGCAGCACACTCACGGCCACCACAGTGTTGACCTGCTGGGTTCAGGCGATCCTTCTGCCTCAGTCTTCCATCTACTTATTAAAATTAATAAAAATCTATAGGTGTGCTTTTCCTTCCTTGCTAAGGTGCTGTATTTCTCTCTCTGTCCTTGTTTTCAAAAATCTCTAAATTTTTAATTTCATTGTAGTTCTTTTTTTTTTTGAGTCAGAGTCTCACTCTGTCACCCAGGGTGGAATACAATGGCACGCTCACAGTCACTGCAGCCTCAACCTGCTGGGCTCAGACGATCCTTCTGCCTCAGTCTTCCTAGTAGCTGGAAATACAGGCACACACCACTATGCCCGGCTAATTTTTTGATTTATTGTAGAGATGAGGTTTCGCCAAGTTGCCCAGGCTGGTCTCAAACTCGTGGGCTCAGGTAATTAATTCTCTCACCTCAGCATCCCAAATTGGTGCTGGGATTATAGGCATGAGCCACCACGCCCAGCCTCATTTTAATTCTAAAGGAGCTAGCCACCAAGCTCAATTTTATGACCTTAATCTATGTCTGGTTGAAAAGTCAGGAGACAAAAACAAAAGGTACAAGGCTAGAATCTGCATCTTCCATCTTTCTCCCTGCTAAGAAGGGAGGGCTTCCACGGGTCCAGGGGTCTCGGCACCATGGCAGGGGTTGCTCAACAGCATTTCACCTATTCGTACACTCAAAGGTCACAATTTCCTGTAGACTCTATCAACTCTCAACTGATTGTTCTTGAAGTCATTCTGCATTAAAATGAGTTGTCAAGGTTGTCTCCAACCCACACAGGTCTACTGTCTTAAGCTATCAACTCAAAGTTGAGTAATAAGGCAATCTACTGTTCACTATGAGCACCATCTCCACTCAAGTTCCAACTTGTTTGCTATTTGCAACCTGTTTTGAAGATCACCTTGGATTTTTAAAAATCCCTGAAGGTCAAGAACAGCCTGGGCAACTTGGAGAGACCTCATCTCTACAATAAATCAAAAAATTAGCCAGGCATGGTAGCGTGGGCCTGGAGTTCTGGCTACTTGGAAGGCTGAGGCAGAAGGATCACCTGAGCCCAACAGATCAACGCTGGGGTGCCTGTGAGCATGCCACTGCACTCCAGTCTGGGTGATGGAGTGAGACTCCAACTCAAAAAAAAAAAAAAAAAATTCCAGAAGAAAGCAAGAATAACACTAGTCACCACCACCCTTCCAGGGCCTATCTCCCCTGGTTCTACTTATGGTTACATTTTCTACTGTCTCAGCTGTTTCCAGGTGATAAATCAGTGAACTGCACTGATCTACCTATGTTGGTCATCATGCAGAGAACCATCTGTAAGTTTCCGAAGTCATACATTGGCTTCTGTGCTCATTAGCAAGGAACCTACGGATTTATTAGAGTAAGAAAGCCAGTGGCTTTCTAAATACATAATATATAAGGAAAAAACTTAGAGAGACACATAGACCCAGAGTCACCACAGTTGGTGTATAACGAAGTTTAGACAGGAAACCAGGTCTCTCTCATCAAACCCCATACTTTGTAACACTTCAAAATGCATCTTCTTAACTTCTACCCCTCGCCTCTTATTGAGCTTGAATAATCCCAATAAAAGATTATTTTGCTTTAATAAACTTATTACCACAGAAAGGCCCAATGTAAAATTTACTTTCTTTCTGAATAGGTTGTTAATTTAAATTTCCAGAGGCTAAGAAAACTTACTCCAACATGCCCATCCTCAGACATAATTAGGTCATTTTTTAAAAAGAAAAAAGTTAATTGAATTACAAAACCCTAATTTAGTATATCCTTATGGTGAAATACATTGCAGTCATAAAAAAGATTAAGGTAGATTTCTACGATCTAGAAAGAACTATAAGACAATTATAATAGGCAAATGGTTACCTTTGAGAGAGAGAGAGAGAGAGAGAGAGAGAGAGAAAGAGAGAGAAACTTCCTGTGTTGCCTAGGATGGTATTGAATTCCTGGGCTCAAGCAAATCCACCTGCCTTGGACTCCCCAAGTGCTAGGATAGCAAGTGTGAGCCTCCATGCCCGGTCAGCTTCTTTTTTTTTTTTTAAAGAAAGGGTTCTTCCTATGTGTGTGTGTGCTATAACCTCATCTGGTTCAGAAAGGAGAGAGAACGAAGGAAACAATAATACAGATGTGCACACATGCTTTCATCCAGGAGTTCAAGGCTACAGTGAGCTATGATCCAGTCACTGCACTCCAGTCAGGGCAACAGAATTTTTCAAAAATTAAAAACAAATAAGTTAATTAAAAAATATAGTTGCTGGCCAGCCGAGGTGAGAAGATTGCCTGAGTCCACAGGTTCGAGACTAGCCTAGACAACTTGGTGAGACCTCATCTCTACAATAAATCAAAAAATTACTAGGGCGTGGTGGTGGATGCCTGTGGTTCCAGCTACTTAGAAGGTTGAGGTGGAAGGATCACCTGAGTCCAGTAGGTCGAGGCTGTGGTGGTTGTCAGTGTGCTACTGCACTCCAGCCTGGGGAACAGAGTGAGACTCTGAATAAAATACATATATATAGGTGCTAGTGTGTGTGAGATTTAAGTGTGAAACATCATCTGAGTATTAGAAATACATCAGTGCACAACAACAAATGCACAAACATGGATTAATAGTACTAATCACTGACATCCCAGCTTCTCTGGGTCCATTTTTCTCCGGATTTTTATTTTTTTGAGTTGAAGTCTCACTCTGTTGCCCAGACTGGAGTGCAGTAGCATAGCTCGATCACAGCTTACTGTAGCCTCAAACTCCAGGACTCACGTGACCTTTCTGCCTCAGCCTCCCAAGTAGCTGGGACTACAGGTATGTGCCACCACACCTCACTAATTACTTGAAGAGATGAGATTCTTCCTACGTTGCCTAGGCTGGTCTCAAACTCTTAGGCTCAAGCAATCCTCTTGCCTCCCAAAGTGCTAGAATTACAGGTGTGAGCTACCATGCCTGGCCAGGATAGGCTTTTTAAAAAAAATTTTTTGAAAGGTGAGAAGAAAAGATGAGGGAAACATTAGCAAGAAAGCCAGGCAGTAGAAGCTAACAGTTTAAAAGGGCAAAAAGACAGAAAAACAAATTTATGCTTCTGGCTTACCATGTGGACACAGAATGTCTTCATTAAAATTTAATTCCTCCTCTTCTTCTTTTCTTTCTTCCTTTGATTCATCTAATCAAAAGAAATACAGATAATAACTGTACTGGTTGTTGCATTAAAAGTTCAAAGTAGCAGATAAACTGTTCTCTACAATTTTGAACAAAGATAACTTGAACACATTCTGAAAATTAGACCCAAGTGATTCCTACAGAGTTCTGCTGAGAAGTGTTATATTTCTTTCCCTTAAAAGGAAAAAACTCTCAATGACAGTTAACTTTTTAAAGGTTTAGGTTATGCAAGAAAGTGTGCCTTTCTCAATTTGAAAAATAATTTACATATCCTTCTATTAATTCTAGTCAAGGTATTGAGAATACTGTGTCATAAGCCAAGCTAATCATCTACATGTCATATCATGTCATTTTCTCCTACCTACTCTTTTAGGGGTTGAACAGACAGATAGCTTCAAAGGCAAATGAAATAAGTAATTAAACTTTAACATCAAACATATACAGTAGTCCCCTCCATCTGGGAGGATACATTTCAAGCCCCCTAGTGGATGCCTGAAACCTCTGAGAGTACTGAACAACGGCCATTAAACAGAACACACTTCTGCTGATGTCTTCCAACCACAAATCTAAAGTCTTTCCCATCTTAACGAAGCATTTGCCATACACTGTGGCCAGAACTTTTGCAATTAGAGGTATGACAGCAAAGCCAGCACAAATTTTGTTTTTTCTTCACAATTTCTCAGCCAGAGCATTTGTTCTCACCACGGACCTCAGCAACCTTAGCATATGATCTTTTTTTTTTCCATACTAAGAGCTTTCACCTTTTCACTTATATAACCAAGTTGCCAGCATCATTCTTCTTGCACTTCAAAGCTATTATCAAGAAAAATAAGGATAACTTGAACACAAGCACTGTGCCAGCCAATCTGAGAACTAAGAGGACTACTAAGAGCCATCGGACAGTAAGAATATGGTGTGGATATGCTAGACAAAGGCAGGACAGCACAGGACTTCATCATGCTACTCAGAACAGCATGCAATTTAAACTTATGGATTGTTTATTTCTGGAAGTTTCTTTTTATTATTTTCTTTTTCTTTTTTTGAGTTGGAATCTCACTCTGTCGTCTAGGCTGGAGTGCGGTGGCATGCTCACAACCACCACAGCCTCGACCTGTTGGGCTCAGGTGATCCTTCCACCTCAGACTTCCAAGTAGCTGGAACTACAGGTACGTGCTACCATGTCTGGCTAATTTTTTGATTTATTGTAGAGATGAAGTCTCACCAAGTTGTCCAGGCTGGTCTCAAGCCTGTGAGCTCAGGCAATCCTCTCACCTCGGCCTCCCAAAGTGCTGGGATTATAGGTGTGAGCCACCATGCCCAGCTCTTTATTCACTGTAGGTAACTGAAACTATGGAAAGCAAAACTGTGGATAAGGGAGAACTGGTATCACAAGACCTTTGCTTTTCCTATTAATGTTTCTCTTCCAATATCTGCTTTTCTTACTTGTCCTCACGGTGTCACTGTCAATTTGTAGTTCTGTATACTGGAAGCCTGATCAAATAAAGAAATCTTAAGGATCAGGAGATTAGTATAGTTTGTGGGTTTTCCAGGTTAAGTACCTAACACATTTTAACACTCTTAATGTATACAAAGAATATTTACTAATCATTAAAAAAAGTTTGCCTGTAGTTCGGCTACTTGGAAGGTTGAGGTGGAAGGATTGCCTGAGCCCAGCGGGTCAATGCTGGGGTGCCCGTTAGTGTGCCACTGCACTCTAACCTGGGCGATGGAGTGACTCCAACTCAAAGAGAAAAAAAAAAAGTCAAGTATAGAAATGAGCAAAGGAAGGCCATAACCAAACAATTCTGTCTTCTCTCTGTCACACACACAAATACAGATAGCTTCTTATACATGAGAAGATGGTTAGCCTCAATGATAATCTGAAAAACAAGCTTCAACACTAAGTCATTTTCCTATAGCAGACTGATAAAAATCGATGTGACTGATGTGTCCTTTATGTTGACAAAAGCATGCAAAAATGAGCCCCCTAACATGCATACTAGAAGAAATGTAACAGTATGTGGCAATAATAAGTGTGCATACTTTTCTGATTCAACAACTTCTACGAATTTTTTTCAGAAATAATTTGAAAATCACACCAAAAAGGTAGGTAAAGGACAAAAAAAGATGCTCACTGTATCTTTGCTTTATGTTAATTGTAAAAAATCAATAATCTGTCATGAAGTTAAAAAAAGAAAGAAAAAAAATTTTAAACAAAAAAATTGAAATAGAAACAGCTATATAAATATATCCACACAATGAAATGCAGCCACTAAATAAAAAGAGCTGTATATTTTGACAGGGAAGATGCACAATTATGTCTACAATAATTCACCTATAAAAAGTCACTATTTACAGGGATTATTTCTGCTGGAAGGACTCTGAAGTTCTAGTTTGTTACATTTATGTTGTTTCAAGTCTTTAAAAATTTGAATAGGGAATAAAAATTTGAATAGAGAAGCATATTACCCTGAAAGTAATGAGAAGCATATTACCCTGAAAGTAATGTAAAGTAGAGAAGCATATTACCCTGAAAGTAATGTAAAAAATACTTCTCAGATTGGACAGTATCAAGGCACTTTCTGTCATGGTGTCCAACTTTACTAAAATGAAGGGACATTGACATATAAAGGAGCTCAAATGAGCAGTAAATAAATATATGTATGTATTAATATTTTAAAAGAATATTAACACTCAAAAATTTAAAAAATTAAGTAAAATAATTGCTTATGATCACTGCCTGTGGCTAACTAATCTTTGAATGAGAAAATCTGATCAAGGTCAGGCTCAGCGGCTCAGCCTGTAATCCCAGTACTTTAGGAGGCCTAGGTGAGTGGATTGCCTGAGTCTGCTGGTTCGAGACCCACCCGGGAAACTTGGCGAGACTGCGTCTCTACAATAAATCAAAAATTAGAGCCGGGCTCGGTGGCTCAGCCTGTAATCCCGTGCCTTTGGGAGGCTAGGTGAGTGGATTGCCTGAGCCCGCAGGTTCGAGACCTGCCTGGGCAACTTGGCAAAATCTCATCCCTACAATAAATCAAAAATCAGCCGGGCGTGGTTGTGCACGCCTGTAATTCTGGCTACTCGGAAGGCTGAGGCGGAAGGATCGCCGGAGTCCAGTAGGTCAAGGCTGCCGTGGCCGGGAGTGGCTACTGCACTCCAGTCTGGGTGACAGAGTGAGACTCCAACTCAAAAAAAAAAAAAAATTAGCCAGGCATGGTAGCGCGTGCCTATAGTTCTGGCTACTTGGAAAGCTGAGGCGGTAGGATCGCCGGAGCACAGCAGGGTGAGGCTACAGTGGCCAGAAGCGTGTCATTGCACTCCAGTCTGGGCGACAGAGTAAGACTCCAACTCAAAGAAAAAAAAAAGGAAAAAAAATCTGATCAAGCCACTAGTCTCCATTTCAAATCTAAAAATAATTCCAATGCCTTCATTTCCCTTGACATCTTATAAAGCACTGATTATAAAATTAAATTTATAACAACATAATTTCCTATTTGAAAGCACAACTTCACATAACTCAGGAAACTCAGAAGAATTTATAAGCAACAAGCTATTCAAAAGCTTCCTCCCCTCCTTAATGAAAAAATGCAGAAGTACAAGATCATTTACTTGACAGAGGCATTCTGTAAGTGTGGCAGATAGTCTAAAGCCAAAATGCATGTGCTTGCAATATACTATGTAGTTGACGGTAGACTTACCTTTCTTTCTTTTTTTTTTTTTTTTGAGTTGGAGTCTTACTCTGTCACCCAGGCTGGAGGGCAGTGGCACGCTCCCGGCCACTGCAGCCTCAACAAGCTGGGTTCAGGTGATCCTTCCACCTCAGCTTTCCAGGTAGCTGGAACTACAGGCGCGTGCCACCATGCCCGACTAAGTTTTTGATTTACTGTAGAGATGAGGTCTCGCCAAGTTGCCCAGGCTGGTCTTGAACTCAAGGGATCTGGCAATACTCTCACCTCGGCCTCCCAAAGTGTTGCGATTATGGGCGTGAGCCACTGTGCCCAGCCCGACTTACCTTTCTTTAAACTTTTAGCCTAGAACAGAATTCATCTTCAGTTAGCATGTGATTAGCTAGACAGAGCTTGGTAGGTTATAAAGAAAATTCACATGTGAGTTGTTGAGTCTTTGCTAAACTTCAATAGCTTTAAAATCTTTTATTTGCTCTAAGCTATTTCTGAGAGCTTTCAGTTTAATAAAAGTTGTCTTTAAAATTACATGGATGGGCCGGGTTCGGTGGCTCAGCCTATAATCCCAGCACTTTGGGAGGCCAAGGGGAGTGGATTGCCTGAACCTGTGGGTTCGAGACCAGTCCAGGCAACTTGGCGAGACCTCATCTCTACAATAAATAAAAAAAAATTAGCCGGGTGTGGTAGCACGTGCCTGTAGTTCCGGCTACTTGGAAGGCAGAGGCGGAAGGATCGCCAGAGCCCAGCAGGTCGACACTGGGGTGGCCGTGAGCATGCCACTGCACTCCAGCCTGGGCGACAGAGTGAGACTCCTGTAATCCCAACACTTTGGGAGGCTGAGGTGAGAGGACTGCCTAAGCCAGGGGTTCGAGACCAGCCTGGGCAACATGGTGAGGCCTCCTCTCTACAATAAGTCAAAATATTAGCTGGGCATGGTGGCACATGCCTGTAATTCCAGCTACTTGGAAGGCTGAGGCAGCAGGATCGCCTGAGACCAGAAAAGTTGAGGCTGTGCTGGCTGTGAGTGTGCCACTCTACTCCAGCCTGGGCGACAGAGTGAGACCCTAACTAAAAAAACAAAAACAAAAACTACATGGAAGGCATCAAACCAATTTTACTAAAAACGAATGTGTAGTCTTGTGGTAGAACTTCACGATGCTCTACCCAGGCTTAGAACATTACCTTTGTTCAAGGTGTTGCCGTTCATTTTTCCATTGCTTTGGTCTCCATCACCGTCTTGCTCATCTAGTTGCTCAAGAGCCAGCTGGCGCCAGCTCCGCAAGGAGGACTTCCCCACCCAAAATCCATCATTGCTGCAGGACAGAGAATGTCAGATCAACAAGCAGCGTTTCCTCATGTTCTCCTCCTCTTTCCTTGTAAGGACACAACTAAAATGAATTACAAACACTCAAAAGCAGCTATTGTGCATGCCATTTTTACTAACCTACTTCCTAATTTTGGCCATGTTCATGTCTCACTGTTGAACTGCAGGGATCAAACATTTTGTTTCTATTCTGAATCTTATCCTGCTTCTCCTAGCCCTCATTTACATTCATACCAATCACATGGCCACTTTCTTTCACTTGATTACTACTCTGTTACATACAGCTGTCCCTTTAAGTAGCTATGTGGACACTCATATATTCACATATACGTCCATATCTATTCAAACATACATTCAGTGAGACTAATCTTTATTTGGGAAATTAAAAAAACCTTAAACCCAGATATAATAATAAATCTTATCAATTAACTATCTGATCCTGTTGGTTCCTAGGTGCAGAGGTACTCTATGAAGTGGGGCTCAACATATCCCAAGTGCCCCGGAAGTTTCTGATAAGGACACTTGACTGGGTATTATGGATTTTTGTTTGTTTGTTTGTTTTCTGTTTTGAGTTGGAGTCTCACTCTGTCACCCAGGCTGGAGTGTAGTGGCATGCTCATAGCCACCACAGCCTCAACCTGCTGGGCTCAGGGGATCCTTCTGCCTCAGCCTTTCAAGTAGCTGGAACTACAGATGCATACCACCACACCCAACTAATTTATTTATTTGTTGTAGAGATGAGGTCTTGCCAAGTTGCCCAGGCTGGTCTCAAACCTATGGGCTCAGGCAACCCTCTTATCTCAGCCTCCCAAAGTGCTGGGATTATAGGTGTGAGCCACTGTGCAGTACCTGACATGGGTACCATTTGTTAACACCCTTTCTTCAGACTCACTAAGGGAGACACCAGGTCTGTCAGGATGTTTTTGCTATGACATATGCTTTATACAGTTCCATGTCAGGGCACAGGCTGACACTCTGCCTCAGGTTGATCAGGACTCAGGCTGTTGCACAGTTCTGCTTCTTTATCTCTAATGGATGCACTGTACTAGCAAGGGCTGTCTGGAACAGCTTTCTTTACCTTTGCCACCAGGCAATCATTGCAATGTCTACTTTTAAGCTGGTTGTGCCATCTACTTCAACACCCTTCTTCTGATGCCCCAACTTCCTATTTTCTTTTCTTTTGTTTTTTTTGAGACAGAGTCTCGCTCTATCACCCAGGCTGGAGTGCAGTGACACACTTACAGCTACCGCAGCTTTGACCTTCTGGGCTTAGGTGATCCCTCCGCTGCTCAGCCTTTCAAGTAGCTGGAACTACAGATGCATGCCACCATGCCCGGCTATAATTTCAACTTCCTATTTTCAATACATAATAAGCTGCTTGGTTATTACCTCTTGAATAATTTTTTGTTTATCATAAACAATGTACATTGTGCAACATACCCCTTTACTGTTGCTTTTAGCAGATTATTAACAGTTTTATAATCTTCATTTAGTTGGTTCTTCAGACGCAATACACGGCATCGTTCTACTACACATTCCTTACACAGGGCTTTCACTAGAGACAAGAAAGGATGAAAGAAAATATAGTTAATCCACACAGACTTCCTGTTAGGAAAATGTTTTCAGCACTTCACAAACACAGATAAATTCTAAACAAAAGTCACAACTTTTGGCAATATGGCATTTTGGTAAATGTCCTAAATTATGTTAGTGATACTGACACTAAGGCAGTACTATTGTTATCTCCACAAAGAAAGAATAAGAGATGAAATATTATAAGATGCTAAAACCACACCACAAAGTACAGTATGTTACAAGGCTTAATGCAAACTTTTGAAGATGATAATAAAATAACTGAGGTTCTGGGGGGAGGAATTATATCTGACAACTATAAATGTAATTATCTTAATGTGGAAATGATCTTCAAAGCACAGAACACTAAAGGAAAAAGAAAAACAAAGGGCCTGATTTAAAACACACAGAAGGCTGGGAGCAGTGGTTCACGCCTATAATCCCAGCACTTTGGAAGGGGGAGGTAAGAGGACTGCCTGTGCCCAGGGGTTCGAGACCAGTCTGGGCTACTTGGCAAGACCTCATCTCTACAATAAATAAAAAAGTAGCCAGGCATGGTGGCGCACACCTGTGGTTCCAGCTACTTGGAAGGCTGAGGCCAAAGGATCACCTGAGCCCAGCAGGTTAAGGCTGCAGTGGCCGTGAGTATGCCACTGCACTCCAGCCTGGGAGACAGAGTGAGACCTTGTCTCACAAAATAAAACATAAAAATAAATAAAACACACAGAATTTCTAGGAACCATAAAACGTCACTCTCTGAAATCTAGGAACCATAAAACGTCACTCTCTGAAATGATCTTCAAAGCACAGAACACTAAAGGAAAAAGAAAAACAAAGGGCCTGATTTAAAACACACAGAAGGCTGGGAGCAGTGGTTCACGCCTATAATCCCAGCACTTTGGAAGGGGGAGGTAAGAGGACTGCCTGTGCCCAGGGGTTCGAGACCAGTCTGGGCTACTTGGCAAGACCTCATCTCTACAATAAATAAAAAAGTAGCCAGGCATGGTGGCGCACACCTGTGGTTCCAGCTACTTGGAAGGCTGAGGCCAAAGGATCACCTGAGCCCAGCAGGTTAAGGCTGCAGTGGCCGTGAGTATGCCACTGCACTCCAGCCTGGGAGACAGAGTGAGACCTTGTCTCACAAAATAAAACATAAAAATAAATAAAACACACAGAATTTCTAGGAACCATAAAACGTCACTCTCTGAAAGATCTTCTCAGTTTATTAATTGTGAATCAAGAACAAAAATTTGGAAAGCAAAACTCCAGATATACACAAGAGAAGACCTGAAGCATGCAGTTAAATAGTTAAACACCAGGTTTGATGTAAAAAGTTATATACAATCAGAAAATAGCATTTAATTTAGGGAAAAGAGTGTAGGGGTAGGGGTGTCATGCAATTTCCTCAGTTATAAACTGGAGGGGGCTTGTGTTGTCAGTTGTTTTATTTAAAATGTTTCAAGGAGAGATAGCCAGAACCAAAAAGACTATATATAGCTCTATATTCAAGGTTAGAATCAAATAGCTTCCATTCATAAACTAAGTACCAATCCACAGATTGCACACTATTAGAAGTCACCATAACATGGAGACACAGACTTGGATCAACCAGACAAGGGTTCAAGTACTGGGAACTAGAGCGTTATACAAACTAACAAACTACTACCAGATGGTTTTCTCAAAAGGATCCTATTTTGCTTGCTTTGAGAGGGGTAAAAAATCTAACCATCTCTCCATGAATAGCATCAGTGGCTTAACTTCTACTTTATTTAGCAAATCCTTTCTGCAAAGTGTAAGGAACATTTGGTCTAGCACAGTTTGGGTCAAAGCATCATAAGCCTCACTCATAAAGACCCAAAGATGAAGACTTATCGCACTGCTCTTTTTAAAGCAGAGAAGACATCTCAAATTACCAGTTAGTCTTGGACCACCTCCATATCTACTGTAGAAAATGTCAGCTGCATATTCAGATATCCTCTTCATAATCGGTATCTTATCTGGATGTAGCTTGTCATGGGAACACAGGCATGCGTGATTATCAATAGGCTTGGTAGGTGTCGATTCATCCAACCACTTTTGCAGCCATTCAAGGGAGACAAATTCATAGGGCTCTGAGGAAGAAAGCAGCAGACACAGCCTATGTATTTTTACGGCTTTTTGACTAAGTGATACATTAATTTTCCTCAAAAGACAATACAAATTCTATCCAAAATTAGCAGAATCAAAAGAATCATTGTTCAGGGAAGATGTCAGGTGAGTATGACACAAAGCTCCAGTTAATACTAGTCCTCTGAGTTCAAGGAGCTATGTGCCACAACTCTGAGTCTGCACAGTGCCCTATGAGATCGGCTGGTATTATTAACCACATTCTACAAGAGGCAGCCACAGAGAGCAGTGTCTTGCTTGATAGCACAGCAGAGCTTTGATCAGGACACCCATGTTGTTGGCTGTATGTCATGCTCCACGCTGCTTCCGCAAATCACACAACTCATCTCCTACATGTTTATTTCATAAGTTATTTTCATCAATACTTTTCACAAATATGTGATATACTTCTGAAAATTAAGATGAGAAGCCAGACTGAGCTCTAAGTTAGAAATTAACCTCGTCAGCCACAACCACACTTCACAAGTTTATTTTAACCACTGAACTTGTCTTCATCCAAGATGACACTGATGTCTATTTTGAAAAGGTATTTAATTCCCCCACCCAAATCCATGTCATGATCTATTCATTACATTATTATTTATTTCAAGAAAGTAACCTATTTTAAACAAGTTTTAGAATCAAGGACACTAGAACTGAATTACTGTCAAATTTGAAGTTGTAAAAATTAAAAGACAAAATCAAACACCTCAAAATGAGTTTTAATTTGGGAAAAGAAAATCCCAGAGTTCCCTAAAAGCCAAAATTAAAGATAAAGGGCCAGCTTTGATTACTTACAAAGATCTCCAGTGAGTCCCAGCATAAAACATAGAAGAAAACATACAGAGGTTGAATTTATGTATTTGTATTATATACTCCTTCTGATGAGATCTGAGGGATAAATACTTCAACGCAAAGCCCATTTTGACCAATTATATTCCCCAGAGAGTCTAGAAAACTAACTCCCACTTTAATTTTAGTGTAAAACATTTCAATTTTTACAAAAACAAAATTTGGCATTGCACATCATCATCTGAGAGCCTTCTGAATGGTCAGCTCAATTGCAGTTGCAGGGGAAGAGTGCAGGGCTGCGAGCTGACATCAAGGTCTAATCCAAGTTCTGCCACCAAGAAGCTGGACCTGAGCAAGTCACTTAAACTCTCTATGCTTCGGGTCTTTTATTTGTAAAATGAAGGTAATAATACCTGCCTTCTACCTACCTCACAGGGATGTTGTTGAGTGAAAAAGATAAGATATGTGAAGCATTTTGAGCTTTTTGGAAGAAAAGAGATATAGAAAAGTTAATTATACATTCACACAATATATAGAGGAGACCTTAAGATGCAGTCTAGGTAACATGGTTGTGGCATTTTACAATGTACCATGGTATGGTTAATTACATTCAAAGTACCTCTCAAATTTATTGGCCATTTATCAAGTTTAACTTGCCAGGGATACAGTACACTGGGTATCTGAAGAATGCAGATAAATGATCCCTAACTGAGAACAAAGTAAAAGTCTTCGCATATCTAATCTTTTCCCAAGTACAGTCATATGGATTACAATGTTGAGTAATCTGAAGGCTATCAAAAGTGACAAAATAGTATTGTGAGAAAGAGCAACATTCACCTGGTGTTCTGGTTTCCCCAGCAGCTAGAGAGGGGTGAACAGAGGGCAAAATCTGCTATTGCTAATGAAGGAATAACCTAAGAATCCTGACCCTTACAAGGAAAGGAATCTAGGAAAACTAAAAATGCACTCTTTGCCAGGGGAAGTCTGAAGGAATTCAAGGCCCAGAATGACCATAACCCTGACCTGTACCCCTACAGTGTGACTCAAAGGCAGTTAGTTCAAGACAACACTTTCCAATCCCACAGAAAACTTCCAAGTGAAGCCTGTTGTTTTGGTTTTTGAATAGTTCAAATGAATTTAATGTAAGATGCGAAGACTAAAAAACCATGTATGGTTTTATAGTAAGAAGAGGAAGGAAGAAAGCAGAGAATGGACCCATAATTCTGATCTAACACCATACTTATTAACTCAGCCATTTTCTAGATTTCATTTTAGTGTGCTGAGGGATCCCTTAAAGAAACAGCGACTGTGCTCACAGAGGTCTTTCTTCCCATTTTCAATCTCTGTCACTATAGGGTTGCATCGATCTCTGCCAAGAGCTTCCTTGAGAACATGAGTTGAGCACAAGTCTCATAGATAAGGTAGACTCGGCTTGTGGCAAAGTTTTTACCCTACAGATGTATCTGCACTAGAGAAAGACTCCTGGCAGCCTCTCACAGACATTCCTTAGTATTTGTGATTCAGTAAACTATCTAAGTATTGCCTTCCAAAGGCAATTAACTAACTAATGGGAGTAAAAACTCTCATTATCAAGTTGGAGATACTGGACTGTATGAAATCTCAGCATTTGATAACCAGGAAAGCAACTACTAAAATATTTAACAGGGCTGGGGACGGTGGCTCACATCTGTAATCCCGGCACTTTGGGAGGCCAAGGTGGAAGGACTGCTTGAGCCCAGGAGTTTGAGATAAGCCTAGACAACATAGCAAGACCTCATCTCTACAAAAAAATTTTTGAAAATTATCTGAGCATGGTGGCACACACCTGTATTCCCAGTTACCTGAGAAGCTGAGGCAGAAGGATCGTCTGAGCCTAGGAGGTTGAGGATGCAGTGAGTCATAAGACCACTACACTAGAGCCTGGGCGACAGAGCGAGACCTCGACTCAACAACAACAACAAAAAAAAAATCAAAGGGAAATGTACATTTTGGCTCAGCATTATTTCTGATGAAAAAAAAAAAAAAAAAGCCGGATTTTGAATACAAGCATTCTTTTGGAAAGTTATGAAGTCTAGAACAATCACTTCATCAAACATGTTTGAAACACTGTACCTAGGGATAATGTAAGCATACTTCAATTTGAATAAAAAGAGCCAAAAGAGTGTTCCCTGTGAGGCTTAGATTTTAGGATAAGTGACCCTTCTTTAAATGTTTACAAACAAAGGTAAGATTTAGAACACGCATAAGAAAAAGACTTTAACTGTCAACATAAAACCATGGTCATTAATTTTTAGATATTACATCATTTTAGAACAACATGGACTTTTCACTATGTAAATTTACTGCACATGGATAAAAATTACCAAGTCCGTAACTGGTAAGAGTATAAATAACATAGAGAAATATTCTAAGAACATAAGCACAGGTTCTTATACACTGAAAATAACCAATGGAAGCATAGTGTTAACTTGACATATAACATCTTTGAACGCTATAGTTCTAAAGAGTGGTTCAAAACAGCATTTCACTTTAGACCTTGTAAGTCCCTTTCTCTTGTCCAGTGAATACAGGAAACTGTGACTAAAGCTCAGAAAATAGATTTCTAAATCCCAACTTCTTTGAACAAAGACCTATAAATGTAGAGATCTGAATCATGGGCTCATTTCTAAATCATTTCCAGTTAAATTAAGGTCAGTCTAATTCCAAGGATAATCCTAACCCTTGGACAGAGTTAAAGTAACAGATTACAAAAAAGGGCCAGAACCAAATTATAACACAGTTAAAATCTATTCCTATAGACTTAGCAATTTATATTCATCTTTTGTTAAAGTTATACCAATAATGAAAAGTTAAGATATTAAAAAGACAAAACCACAAGTACAATTATGCTTGAATATTTATTTTCTAAAGTTTGAACTAATTGTCTCTCTCCTGTAAGTAAGAGGTTTGGGGAATTTGTCTTTGAAATGACAAAAATAGTTTGTTACAAACGGCATATTAGCCTTACAAAAGGCTTAATTTGGTTTCTTTTTTGAGATACTAGGTAAACTGAATAAACACATACAGTAAAGGGATAAGCTGGATTATGCAGGATAATTCTAAGAAGGCAGGGGTCAGCAGAAAGCTTTTCCTCTCTTAGCATATTTTTACTAAATTTTAAGTTAATCTAATCGTACCAAAAAACTGTATTCATGTAAAAGAATACCTGTTAATACCTTTAGGGCACAAAGTATTCAAAGAAACAGAACAGGTAAGATGCCTCCATAGTAATCCAATATGATTCATCTTTAGGAACAAGTTCAAATCTCACATAATAGAAATAGCTGCAAGAGTCATGTATGTCGAGTGCTGACCTAAATCTTATCACTTCTTAACAGCTTCCCATCTTTAAAGTACACAACAATGAAATGCTATGGAATGCCACACATCCAGTTGTTGTTGGATTACACAGTGATTTTAGAATGGATAAGCTGGCTTAGTGGGTTCTAAAAAAGGGCAGGAAATAGTTTGTTCATACACACTTGTGAACACAAAAACACAAGGCACTTAATGGCAACAGTGCTGTCCCAGAATATCTTACAGACCAGCTCCAGCAGGCAACCTTTGGTACAGCTCCTTAACCTCTTCGTGCTTTGCTTTTCCTTTATCCACGCTTTGCTTGCGCATCTCGGCCATTTCAACACACCACTCCTCAAATCTGGAATTATCTCGCTCTACCAGCTCTTGAAGAAAGGCTAATTATTCAAAACAGAAAGACAAAGAGCAACTTCATTTGGCTGTCAACGACAGAGAACCATGCTGATCTCTAAGTTATACCAAACACTGGCTAAGCCTTTGGGGGGCAACTTCCCACATGGTCTTCCCTCCTACTAGAGACCTCCAATCTGAAGGCAACCTGGAAGTCAGTCACTGGAAGAATACTAGCTCCACCTAGTCCTACATGACATTGCCAACCTCCTGGAACAATCAAATGGCTCAAGAACATCACTTCAACACAAATGCTGCCACAGAGTTTAGAACAATACTAAGTAAAATGACAAAGACTGCCTTCAAGCCAACAGCAACTCTTCCATTTTATCTAGAAAATCTACAAACAGGCCAGGTGTGGTGGCTCACACCTGTAATCCCAACACTTTGGGAGGCCAAGGCGAGAGGATTGCCTGAGTCCAGGGGTTCAAGATCAGCCTTGGCAACCTGGTGAGACTTCGTCTCTAAAATAAAAAAAATTAGCTGACATGGTGGCACACATCTGTAGTTCCAGCTACTTAGAAGGCTAAGGTAGAAGGATCACCTGAGCCCAGCAGGTTGAGGCTATAGTGGCCATGAGCATGACATTGCACTCCAGCCTGGGCAACAGATGGAGACTCAAAAAAACCCAAAACAATACACAAGAAAAACACCAACCTGTTGTTTATCATTAAGCTTTGAGTGTGGCAATTCTAAAATGTGCCTGAGATAAATGCTGGAAAACTGCTTACCTGGAACTTGAACAACCGTGGTGGGCTTTTCTTGAGTCTGTAGTCTGTAAACCAGCATGTATGCATTTCGAGAGCAATGAGTTCCTTTGCCACACTTAGGTTTACGAGTCTGGGACTTAGAAGGTTCTGCTGAGGTAGAGAAATCAAAAGAAGACTTAATGGAGTGCCTGCAGTTTGTTCATTCTTTAGAGGGGCCACAGAAGATCTCCAAAACACACAGCCAGCATACTTTAACATGGGTCTAAAACATTACAAGGCTACTACAAATCTGGTGAGCTCTTTAGGCTTTTGAATATTTAAAAAAGTTTACTATCCCTGCCTTGAAAAGAAAGTACTATTTTTCCTGACAACAAACCTGGAACCAAGAAAGTACTATTGCTATGAGTTGATCTTAATGTTATAATGTCTATAATTTTTAAAATTAATTGAGGCTGGCACAATTACTGAAGGAAATATGGGACTTTAACACTCCTGGTAAGATTTTATTCTTTTTTTTTGTTTGTTTTGTTAACACTTTGATCTTAATGTTATAATGTCTATAATTTTTAAAATTAATTGAGGCTGGCATAATTACTGAAGGAAACATGGGACTTTAACACTCCTGGTAAGATTTTATTCTTTTTTTTCGTTTGTTTTGTTAATTTAGAAACAGAGTCTTGCAATGTCACCCAGGCTGGAGTGCAGTGACATAGCCCACTGCAGCCTCAAACTCTGGGGCTCAAGCAATCTCCTACCTCAACCTTGTAAATAGCTGGACTACAGGTGTGAGCCATCACACATGACTGTTTATTTTATTTGCAAAGATGGGGGGGGTCTTGCTATATTGCTCAGGCTACTCTCAAACACCTGGCCTCAAGTGTTCATTCCACCTAAGCCTCCTAAAGCACTGGGATTATAGGCATGAGCCATCACACTCAATCCCATGCTTTTATTCTGAATAAGAGTGCTTGGCATACAAGTACATGTTTTCATATTGCTTTTATTTTTATTTCTTTTGCATTAGAACCTTATTATCACCTAGACTAGAATACAATGGCAACATCACCTCTGCTTCACCTCTAGTCCTGAGCTCAGGCAATCCTTCTGCCTCAGCTTCTTGAGTACCTGGGACTACAGGTGCACGCCACCATGCCCAGCTAATTTTTCAATTTTTTATAGAGACAAGGTCTTGCTATGTTGTCCAGGCTGATCTCGAATTCCTGGGCTCAAGCAATTCTCTGTCTTGGTCTTCCAAAGAGCTGAGATTACAGGTGAGAGCCACTACACCTAGCAGTATTTTTTAAATAAAATAAAAGAATATGTACAAAATGTGTACGGTCTGAAAATAAAAATTAGGTCAGTAATCTTTTCAGTACATGGATATTCCCTAATTTAGTCAAAATAATAAAAATAAATCTAGACTTAATTGCCCAAATAAATAAAATTTTAAAATGAAATTCCAAGCTAACAAGTAGACAGATTAGTCAATAATTTCTATGAAGTCAGCAGCAAGTGGAAAACATTGTTTTAGATGGCAAGTGTATCATATGAAAGTGCTCTTCAAATTGGGTTTCAGTATACCACCAGTAACTTTCCAAGAGGTAAGAGATCACAGGTAGTTTTGAGGAAATCCAGTTACCAAATCCTCAATTCACTATGTAGTTTTCTAAAATGGATCTGCCTCAAAACTGAGGTTCCATGATTTTTTTTTTTTTTGGTGGAGTCTTACTCTGTCACCCAGGCTGGAGTGCAGTGGTACACTCACAGCCACTCCAGCGGCAACCTGCTGGGCTCCGGCGACCCTTCCGTCTCAGCCTTCCAAGTAGCCAGAACTACAGGCGCGTGCTACCATGCCCGGGTAATTTTTTATTTTATTATAGAGATGAGGTCTCACCAAGTTGCCTGGGATGGTCTCGAACCTGCAGGCTCAGGCAATCCACTTATCTCAGCCTCCCAAAGTGCTGGGATTACAGGCTGAGCCACTGAGCTTGGCCAATGGTTTTTACAGATTATTATGAAAGGACATTTCATAATAATCTGTCTCCCACTTCACAGAAGATATAACCTCTCACTCAGTGACGAAAAAGGTCTCATCTGTCTCATAAAAAGACATATTTGCAGCACAAGTCTACTTTTTATTTAATAAAATTTATTTATAACATACTTTTATGAGTTTGATCAATTATGCAGCAATGTTTGTCACTTTAAAAACCAACAATACTCTATCCAAAAGTAAGTTTTAACTATTCATAGCTGTATGGTCACAAAAAACTTAATATAACCCATTAGAATAAAATTCTGTAGGATAAGTATAACATAAACTACCAGCACAGAGGAAAAGCATTAAAAACGCACTACTGGCCAGGCTCAGTGGCTCAGCCTATAATTCCTGCACTTTGGGAGGCTGAGGTGAGTGGTTTGCCTGAGCCCATGGATTCAAGACCAGCCTGCGCAACTTGGCAAGAGCTCATCTCTACAATAAATCAAAATTAGCTGGGTGTGGTAGAGCATGCCCGTAGTTCTGGCTACTTGGAAGGCTGAGGCGGAAGGCTTGCCGGAACCCAGTAGGTCAATGCTGGGGTAGCCATGAACATGCCACTGCACTCCACTCCAACCTGGGTTATTAGGAGAATTTATGACAAGATGTGCCAGACTTTAAGATGGACAAAGGAAACAAAAAGTTGTTCAACATTCTTATAGATAATACATAAGCAAAAAAGTTTAAAGACCACTGTACTGTCACCAGTACAGTGTACGATGAGGCGCATGTACACGGAAGAGGAGGTTAGTCATTCACCTCTAAGTGAAGAGGATCCAAGACATAAGGTGTCCGTTACCTTGCAGAAGATGGAATATAAAATGATTCACAAAAGTTCAGGATAGAACACAGCAATGAAGGACTAACAGAATTTTAAAAAATATATATTTTCTATTTTTGAAGGAAAAAAACAGATGAAAGCTGCAATATAATTGCATATAATAATGAAAGTTATTAAAACACTAGAATGAGATAATGATGATATGGAGTCTTTATTGAATTGTTTTAAAATTTAGGACTACCTACATATAGAAGATAGACAAGACACCCTTACCAATGCTTTTTATTTTTTCTGATTTTTTTTTTTAATTGTAGAGATGAGGTCTTGCCATGTTACTCAGGCTTGTCTTGAGCCCCTGAGCTCAGGCAATTCTCTTGCTGTTGCCTTCCCAAGTGCTGATATTACAGGTATGAACCACTGTGCCTGACTACTAATGCTTTTAAACCTACAATTCTCTAACTAAAATAAAGACAGATCAAATAAACTTCAGCAAAGAACAGTCTGATAGCCGGGCTCGGTGGCTCAGCCTGTAATCCCGCGCCTTTGGGAGGCTGAGGTGAGTGGATTGCCTGAGCCTGCGGGTTCGAGACCCGCCTGGGCAGCGAGACCTCATCTCTACAATAAATCAAAAAATCAGCTGGGTGTGGTAGCGCATGCCTATAATTCCGGCTACTCGGAAGGCTGAGGCGGAAGGATTGCCAGAGCCCAGCAGGCGAGGCTGCGGTGGCCAGGAGTGGCCGCTGCACTCCAGTCTGGGTGACCGAGTGAGACTCCAACTCAAAAAAAAAAAAGAACAGTCTGATAAAAACAAGACACAATGATTCCTAATTTAAAACTATACTTCAACAAAAGAATGCCACAATAAAAAACATATACTACATAAGCGAATGTTAAGAATTTAAGTATTGGCCAGGCATGGTGGCTCACGCCTATAATCTCAGCACTTTGGGAGGCCGAGGTGAGAGGATTACCTGAGCTCACAGGTTCAAGACCAGCCTGGACAACTCCACGAGACCTCATTTATACAATAAATAAAAAAATTAGCCAGGCATGGTGGCATGCCTGTAGTTCCATCTACTTGGAAGGCCGAGGTGGAAGGATTGCCTGAGAGCAGCAGGTCAAGGCTGCGGTGGCCATGAGCGTGCCACTGCACACCAGCCTGGGTGACAGAGTGAGACTTCAGCTTAAAAAAAAAAGAATCTAAAGTATTACTTAGTTACAATGGGAGCAGGATTTCTGAAAGTCTACAGCATGTAAATGTGATTTAAATATATAAGCCTGTAATCCTAATACTCTGGGAGGCCAAGGCAAGAGAACTGCCTGAGCTCAGGAGTTCGAGACTGACCTGGGCAACTTGGTGAGATCTCATCTCTACAATAAATCAAAAAATTAGCTGGGCGTGGTAGTACACACCTGTAGTTCCAGCTACTTGGAAGGCTAAGGTGGAAGGATTGCCTGAGCCCAGCAGGTCGAGGCTACAGTGGCCATAAGTGTGCCACTGCATGCTAGTCTGGGCAACAGAGTGAGACTCCAACTCAAAAAATAAAAAACCTTTTCCAAACTACAAGAATGCAATCTTCATATGCCTATCTGCAAAGGTGACCCATATGCCTAGAAAGTCAACCCCAACTGTCATGCTCTTCCTTGCTGGATACCTTTAGGAAGTGCCTCTGATCCATTCAGAAAGAACAGTGACAGGAGAGCCACTCCTACTCCCATTCCTTTTCTCCTATTCAGATATCATAGTCTGAACCTCACTGGAAGATGTCTACTCCTTGGGGGAAATAAATGGGCCCAAGAACTTATAGTGATGATAGCCACATACTAGGGTACTATTTCCAGAAATCCTACTTACGGCAGACTTCACCACGACACAGGAGCAAGCAGCTCATTCCCACAGAGGCACTACTCCACACCCCAGGGAGGGGGTAAGATACCTAGCAAGAGGAGGAGCAAAGTCCCTGCTAGAGCTTCCTCCCCCAAAATAAACTTCCTGATCCAAGGAAAAGAACCACAAATCTTGGCCGGGTGTACTGGCTCACGCCTATAGTCCCAGCATTTTGGGAAGCCGAGGTGAGAGGATTGCCTGAGCTCAGAGGTTTGAGACCAGCCTGGGCAACTTGGCGAGACCTCATCTCTACAATAAATCAAATATTAGCTGGGCAGGGTGGCGCATGCCTGTAGTTCCTGCTACTTGGAAGGCTGAGGTGGAAGGATCGCCTGAGCCCAGCAGGTCAAGGCTGTGGTGGCCATGAGTGTGCCACTGCACTCCAGCCTGGGTGGCAGAGTGAGATTCCTGCTCAAAAAAAAACCAAAAAAACAAAACAGAACCCCACAAATCCTACTATATTAAATCACTACTCATCATTTTTAGCTTTAATACCCCCATCCTCTCCCACCCCCTGAAATAAGACTGGTAATTTAAAACCGATGATTTGCCTTCAAGCATTCCTGAAAACATGATATCATGACAAAATAAATTTTTAAATTAAAAAATTTAAAAGTAGGCATTGCTAATAAGAGATATTCAGTGATTTTTATAATGTGCTTAAAAATGTAAATATCCCTGATAGTCTGTAACAATCTTGGGCCATAATAATTTACCACAAATATTTCCAGTTTAAAAAATTTATATTTTAAAAGGGCACTCACAACTTAAAGGTTTTACCTAGATCTTCCTCAATCCCTAGTTGCAATTTCTTCCCCTCCATCTTTTCTATGTCTTCATCATTAAACTTATACCATTCACCCGACTGTGGATCCTTCACGTGGGCGATGTAGTGGCCAGAGTACGCACTCACTCCTCTGTGGATGAGGACTGCACTGAGTTCATACACGTAGGTTCCGCCTGGAGAGGGAGATAGGGAGGACGTCAAAGAAACTCTGGATAACAGTACTTCTTATATGCTGAGCCTGAATTTTAATGATTATGATGTTTTTTATATCTGGGAGAATTTAAAACATGTCATCTAAAATGTAAAAAGGGTCGTCTTACAAAAGAATGTAGTAGCCATTCTCTTAAGCAGCACTTGTACTTATCCTCCATTCCTTCTGCAAAATATACCGATGAAAGATTGTGACCTTCTGGGCACTGAGAATGGATATGCTACTCTAGTGCATATCCATTGTGCCCTTCTGCACAAACTAACAGCACACCAAAAGACCAGCTGTTCATACGCTCCAACATGGCACAAAAATTAATTAAAACATACACAAACCAATGAAAGACAAGCATAAAAGGAAAAATCAATTGTAGAAAAAAGAATACAAATGGCCGGGCTCAGTGGCTCAACCTGTAATCCCAGCACTTTGGGAGGCCGAGGTGAGTGGATTGCCTGAGCCCACGGGTTCGAGACCTGCCTGGGCCAGCTGGCGAGACCTCATCTCTACAATAAATCAAAAATCAGCTGGGCATGGTAGCGTGCGCCTGTAGTTCTGGCTGAGGTGGAAGGATCACCAGAGCCCAGCAGGGCAAGGCTGCAGTGGATGGGAGCGGCCACTGCACTCCAATCAGAGCGACGGAGTGAGACTCCAAAAAAAGAAAAAGAAAAAAGAATACAAACATTTCAGAAAAACTTGGAGGCAAGTCATTAAGAGCCTCCCATGTAGCTGGGACTATAGGGATGTGCCACCACATCCAGCTAATTTTTTAATTGTTTTGTAGAGATGAGGTCTCGCTATGTCACCCAGGCTGGTCTCAAACTCCTGAGCTCAAGCAAATCTCCTGCCTCAACCTCCCAAAATGCTAGGATTACAGGTATGAGCCACCACATCCACCCAGAAAATTTGCTTTCAAACCAGGTGTAGGCACTGAAGAAAGGGTACAAACTTTCAGTTACAAGATGAATAAATTCTGGAGATCTAGTATACAGCATGGTGAGATGACAAATGTAAACTAACAATTGCAATCATTTTACAAAACACATATATCATTGCATTATACCTTAAGGTCAGACAGTTTTGTCAAATACACCTCAATAAAGCTGAAAAAAATAAAAAATAGGTGTAGGCAGGACAAGTGGGAAATATAGGAGAAAAAACATTAAAAAGTTTATTTGTATTTAAAGTTCCTATACCTTTTTAAATGAACAAAAGCTACAAATCATAGTTTATCTATAATACATGTGGTTTCTGCAAGAAGAGAAGGTTTTAAACATACATCAAAATATTGGCAATGAATGAACAGTTACATTTTACGATAAAACATTTTAAAGTCTGTAAAACATCTTACAAAATCCTAAACGTAAACCAATGATAAGGGAAATGTGTTGGAAAGATCATTTCTACGATACATGTTTTTTATTAAAAGTTAGAAAACAAGAAAACTCATTAATAAGCCCACACAGACTATTAATACTGAAACCTACAGTGTTTTTCCTAACAAGTATCTCATTAACATTATTTCACATTATTATTCTTCTAAAAACTATATATATGTGTAATTGCCACAATATTTTGAACCACTGTCATGTTAAAGGACATTTAAACTGATAGCATTTGAGAGCCTTTTTTAATTTACTTTTTTTTTTTTGAGTCAGAGTCTCACTCTATCACCCAGGCTGGAATGCAGTGGCACGCTCACAGCCACTGATCCTTGACCTGCTGGGCTCAGGAGACCCTTGCATCTCAGTCTCTTGAGTAGCTGGGACTACAGGCATACGCCACCACACCCAACTAATTTCTAGACTTATTGTAGAGATGAGGTCTCACCATGTTGCCCAGGCTGCAGTCTTTTTTTTGAGTCAGAGTTTCACTATGTAGCCCAGGCTGGATTGCAGTGGCACTGCTCATGGCTACCGCAGCCTTGACCTGCTGGGCTCAGGTGATCCTTCTGCCTCAGCCTTCCAAGTAGCTGGAACTACAGGCATGTGCCACCATGCCTGGCTAATCTTTTGATTTATTGTAGAGATGAGGTCTCACCAAGTTGCCCAGGATGGGTTTGAATCATGAGCTCAAATAATCCTCTTACCTCGGTCTCCCAAAGTGCTAGGATTATAAGTGTGAGCCACCCCGCCCAGACAGTCTTTTTTAAAAAACAATAATTATTACCTTTATAAAACTCTGCACACATCTTTGATTCTTTCATTACTATAATTTCCTTAAAACTGCAGGGAGTGAGTCACAGTAAGTTACAGTCAATCACTCATTCAATACATAATAAACATGCTGGACAATGTTTTAAGCATGGAGGATACAGCAGTCGATTAGAAGTAGTCCTCACATTCTTGTAGCATAGTGAGGAAGACAGTAATGCAGATCAATACCTGAACCAAAAGCCACTGAACTCACCCAGCTGAAAATATTTAAAGTATCGAGTAAGAAAAAAAAATTCTTCTAAATGTACTGAAAGTATCGAGTAAGAAAAAAAAATTCTTCTAAATGTACTGCTTTGATGGTAAGAACATAAGAATTCTCAGAAGCCAAATACTCAGTGAAGGCCGAAGTTAGGGAGGTAAGAGCAACAAAGAGTTTCCTACTGAGAGCATTAGATGAACCTTTCAAGATTAAGTTGAACCTTGATCTATTTGAACTGTTTTTTCACATCTGAAAAGGCTTGTGAGACCAGAGACAAAAGCTAAGGTCCATAAAATGTAAGGAGTTGAACGGGGGACTCCATCATGAAAGTAGAGTTCTTTTTAATTAACAAATAATATGTGTATATATTTATGAGATACAATGTGATCTCTGGTGCTTACATTGTGGAATGATTAAATCAAACCTATTAACATACTGGTCACCTCACATACTTATCATCTTTTTGTGGTGAAAATGTTTTGAATCTACTCTTTTCGCAACATGCTAGGCAATGCTTCTCCAAAACTTGCTCCTCCTGTCTTACTGAAATGCTAAACACTGTGAACATGACCTCCCTATTCCTTAACGTCTCTGCTGTCTCCCATGCCCCCCCCGCCCCGCCTCTGGTAATCATCATTCTACACTCTTCTTCTATGTGTTTTTTAGATTCCACATGTAAGACCATGCAACAGTTGTCTTTCTGTGCCTGGCTTATTTAACAGCATAATGTCTTTGAAACCAGTGTTCATCAGTTTAAGAGATTACAGAAATGAACCTGCCTTCTACAGGATATAGTAGGGGGAAACTTATATGCCTTATACTTACTTTGGCACTTGGGGGAAAGAAAAAAAACAAATCTTCACTACAAGTTCTTAAGAAGTTAATCCTCAAGATTTCTCTGCCATGAATTCTCAATACCTAGGAAGTCAGATAAACCTCAAGTCAAGAGTTTTATTTGATGTGATCCTGGGATGAATGACAGCTCTATGGAATTGAGTTCAGTCAAACACACACACGCACACGCATATCACATAACGCAAAAAGACATAAATTGCTAGAGGAAGCAACAAAGCAAAACCAAACTCGCACAGTTTCACCCCAATTACTGGAAATAGCAAATAAATAAATATTTAAGTATAGTCAATGAAATACATGATGAGGTTAAAACTACAGGAGATTATAGACAATGACAGAGAACCAAATCAAATCTTTAAAATGAAAATTACAGCAACTGAGTCAAAACTTCATAGAAAGGTTTAACCTCAGGTCTGGTTCATGTGCACAGAGAATCAATAAAGTAGAAGGTAAAGCTAAAGAAATTATGCAGAATGCAGGAAAAAGCAATGAAGGATTAGGGGACATGGAGGGCAGAGCAGGAAAATAGAACACACATCTAACTGGAATTCCAGAAGGAAAAGAAAGAGAAAGAAGAGAAAAAACTTTAAGAGATAACAGTTGGGAAATTTTCTGATGCCCTAGGTGAGGAGAAAAAAATAGATTTAAAATCTAACCAAAATCAGTCACAGTGGCACTGTAAAATACCCAGACCAATTGAAAAGGTCTTAAGATCAGACAGAATAAACACGTCACTTGTAGAGACAAGAATTAGACTGCAACCAATTTCTCAACAGGAGCCAGGATGCCCAAGACAACAGAATTATATATTCAGAGCACAGAATGAAAAGAACTGGCCATACTTAGAGAAAATGAAGTTCAAAACAAGGACAAGACAGACACTTTCAGACAACCATATGTGAAAAGACTCTTTTACCAACAGGCCTTAAGAAAAGAATTTTATGAGCTCTAATTCAATATATTCAAAAAGTGATTCCAGACAGAAGGTCTAGAATACAAAAAGGAATGAGACATACAGGAAGTGGGTAAACTAAATGCCCTAAGTCCTACAAGATAGCCTACAAGCTTCCTTTTCAAAGAAAGGTAAACCTAAAACACACACGACTGGTCAGGCACTGTGGCTTACATCTGAAATCCCAGCACTTAGGGAGGCTAGGGTGGGAGAACTGCTTGAGTCCAGGAGTTTGAGACCAGCCTAGGCAATATAACGAGACCTCATCTCTAAAAATAATTCAAAAATTAGCTGGGCGTGGTGGTACACACCTGTAGTCCCAGTTACTCGGGAGACAGAGGAGGAAGGATCACCTTAGCCCAGGAGGTTGAAGCTGTGGTGAGTCATAATCATGCCACTGCACTTCAGCCTGGGTGACAGACTGAAGTCCCAACTCAATAAATAAATAAATAAACAAACACATATCCATAAATATACATATGATATATGTATGTATACGAAAAGCATCAATTCAGGAGATCAATTTCTTAATATTCTGAGGTCCTTGTACTGTACTGGTTTTAATGGATAAAGATTTGAATTGTAGGTTAAATCTGTATGCTATAATTTCTACGTTAATTATAAGTCGGCCCAGGCTATCTCTGCCCTGAGGGCATTTACACACTCCCAGTTTCAGGGCTAACCTGAAGGTTCCACCCACTGTTCTTTCTACTACGCTGCACTCTCCCAGTGACTTCATGGTAAAGATGAAGCAGAAATAGCCTCTCCATCTCCCCAACCTCAGGGAGCCATAAAGAAAACTCCTTAACCCTAAACAGACCAGTAGAAATAAAGAGAAAGAGGGAACATGCCATGGCCTTGGATCACCAGGTCCTTACAGCTCAGGTAAGTCAAGGAACCTCAAGCCCTGTTTGTCTGTGATCTTACCTAACCAGCAGGGGCCCCAGGGGCCTACAGAGATAAGCCCAAGGGTCTGGTAGAGGAGGCTGCAGGCATTCTAGCCCAGGGGAATCCCCATAAATCATGATCCAGCATGCAAAGACAACCAGCATGCAAAGACAACCAGGTCCAGAAGAAACAAAACAATACTGAAAGAACCAGCTCAGACAGCAGAATTAGACATGTACAATATTCCAACATTGTCCCTCATGGGTTATAAAAACAACTAGGCTTTTCATGTTTAAAGAAAAAGTTTGAGCCGGGCTCGGTGGCTCAGCCTGTAATCCTGCGCCTTTGGGAGGCTGAGGTGAGTGGATTGCCTGAGCCCGCGGGTTCGAGACCTGCCTGGGCAGCGAGATCTCATCTCTACAATAAATCAAAAAAAAAAAATCAGCCAGGCGTGGTAATGCATGCCTGTAATTCTGGCTACTCGGAAGGCTGAGGCGGAAGGATCGCCGGAGCCCAGCAGGTCGAGGCTGCGGTGGCCGGGAGCGGCCACTGCACTCCAGTCTGGGCGACAGAGTGAGATTCCAACTCAAAAAAAAAAGAAGGAAGTTTGAAGAATTAAAAAAAATACTAATGACAACACTTTTTTTTTAAGTCAGAGTCTCACTCTGTCACCCAAGCTGGAGTGCAATGGCATCATCACAGTTCCCCACAGCCTTGACCTACTGGGTCCAGGTAACCCTTCTTTCAGCCTTCCAAGTGGCTGAGACTACAGGCATGCACCACTATGCCTGGTTTATTTTTTGATTTTTGTTGAGATGAGGTCTCACCATGCTGTCCAGACCCCTGGGCTCAAGTAGTCCTCCTGCCTCCAACTCCCAAAATGCTGAAATTACAGGTCTGAGCCACAGTACACGGAAATAGCACGTTTTAAATACACCAATAATTGAGAAAGGTCATATGTTTCTTTTTGGGGCTCTATTGACCGAACTGGTCAAAAGCACCTCACTTTGAAAGATATGAGTGAGGGGGAAGAGAAGAATAAAGGGAGGCTAAAGGAAAATCAAAGCCCAGGGTTCTCCAGAAGTGCAATAGCCTCCGGAGTTGGCCCAGAGGATGAGATTCTGGGGTTTATTAAGATACAGCAACCTCATCAGGACCCAATTCTCAGACACAAAGTTTTGACAGGAAGAAACCTTGGCTGGAGACCAGAAGTCAGTGGTGTCCAAAGACTTTCCAAGGTCTGCAGGAATAAAACATGGCAAACTTGATAATTAGGAGGGACTCAGCAGCATCCAGGGGAGTCACTGGAGGGGCTCATCACCAGAGGGGCTCTTCCCCCATGACCATCAAACCCCGGATGGAGAAGCAGAGGCAGCAGAGTGAGATTTCATTATGGGTTACATTCTGGCTGGCACTGTTCTGGAAGGACAAAGAGAAAACTAAGCTACAGTGTTTGGGGATGAACGCTTATACAGTTCACTAAAATGCTAACGGAGGGGTATTCCCCATAAAAGTCTGACAAGTGGTTATACTTAAGGGAAAGAAAGAGGCTATTACCGGAAGGCTCACAGATCTGGGTGGTGCTCTGGCACATGTTCACTTCGTGTAATTCGTCAAGTCACACTTTTTGTATTTTGAACTTTCAGGAGCTAGACTGAGATGTCTGAAATTTAAACTATGAAATGACAAGGTAGATAGAGTAAGGCACTCCATAGGGCTGAGGGGGTGGAAGGTGAGATCATCGAAGGAGAGAAGAAGCTATGAGGTCGGCTGGGAGGATCACCCACAAGGGTTCTTAATAGCATTCCCTACATTATTAATGAAGACAACAAGCCATAGAAGTATTGGCAGTAACCATAACTCTATTACCAATAGACACCACAAAAGTTTTCATATCACATTACCATTCTTGCAGATAACTTGAATTTACCCTCAACAATTCATTACACTCATCCACTTCAGAGTTGTGGTAGTTTTAAAATCCCCTAGAAACGTGGCAGTTGAGTTAGGAGTCAGGAGCCAATGTTCAAGGAATGAGGGTTTCTTATTCTAAAGATCTCTGCATATCTGCAGGCTCACTGTTGAAAGAAACAGGTGAAATCTCCTTTTAAGAACAGATCATCTTTTCTACCTTCTCAGTTTTGTGTGGTTATGTATAGATACAGGAGAATGGAAATACTGATTATCTGGGTGATAGAATTACACATGGTTTTTATTTCTCTTCTTTATGTTTTCTGGGTTTCTCAAATTATCTAGAAGAAGCCTTATGCAATTAAAACAAAAGTTAATTTACTTTTAGTCTTTTACCTATATAAGGTACCACATTATTATAGAAAACATTAAAGCAGTCTGTGAAAGATGATATTAATTTTGCCAGTCTTAGCTAACACATCTAAAATAAGAATGTTTTACTTTTTAAAAATTAAAACTTTAGGCCGGGCTCGGTGGCTCAGCCTATAATCCCAGCATTTTGGGAGGCCGAGGTGAGTGGATTGCCTGAGCCCGCGGGTTCGAGACCCACCTGGGCAACTTGGCGAGATCTCATCTCTACAATAAATAAAAAAATCAGCCGGGCATGGTGGCGCGCGCCTGTAGTTCCAGCTTCTTGGAAGGCTGAAGTGGGAGGATCGCCGGAGCCCAGCAGGTTGAGGCTGCGGTGGCCGGAAGCGGCCACTGCACTCCAGTCTGGGTGACAGAGTGAGACTCCAACTCAAAAAAAAAA